TCCATTCTCTTCTTCTTTTTATTTTTAATTTTTTTATTTTTTCTTCCTCTAAACTACTAGAGGAGGCTTTAGAATAACTTTTACAAAGAATACTGTACATTACTAAAGTTATAAATTATGAAATGAATCTATTTTTATTAAATAAATTTGTATCCAATAAAATAATCTTTCCAATAAACAACAAAAAATTAAATAACTAAAAGTCAAAATATATTTACATTTTAAGTTAAAAATAGTTTATTTTATCATTCAAACCTAATTAATTCTTTTAAACTCACTTTTAAAATTGTCATTTTGATATATAAATTAATTTTGTAACATACAAAACTAATTATATTAAACTCTAAAATTTGTTAAAACCAGACAAATGAGTCAAACCGATTCAACCGGAATCTGGACCCATGATCAATCCGGTTTATGTCCCAAATTGTTTTTTCTTATAAACTTGTGGGGCTCAGATTAAAACTTAAAATCGGTGATCCAATCAAACTGAACCACTTTAACATTAAATGTTTTTGTTTCTCTTTTACGCCCAAAAACTCCCCTCATTGCCTTCTTAATAATATATTGTCAATTTTAATATAAATAGTATGCATTGGATTACTTGGGATCATCATAAAAGTAACAAAATTTATCATAAACAATAAATAACAATACTCTTATATTTGGAATACCAATTAAAATGTCTTTACTAAGAGGAGAAGAAGAAGAAAATCTCAAATCCTAAAATCAGGTTTGATCGACTAATTTAGATTAAACCCAACCAATTTATGTGAAAAAAAATAATTAATTTAATAATTTTGGTTCATTTGGTCTAGTTAATATATCAAATTCATCCAACCTAATCAATATATTTACGTTTTCTATCCACTGTAAAATTCTGGCTTGTCAGCAAGTGGTGGCTTTTCTTCAATTTATGTTTGGTCATTTTAATAATTGAAAAATGTTTCTCACCCAAACAAGTTTTAGTGTGCATTTCGAAATCCATGGAAACTCATGGAAGTGTGAAAATTGAGGTCAGCATAGTTTTAGTAAACAACTGATCAGAACTTTAGGTCCTTTATTGATTATCACTGTATTAGAAGTGCATTAAAACTCATCAAACGAATATACTATTATATTATATATTTTAATAAAAATATTCTTTTAGTTTTTAATTAAGACCCTTAAAACCCTTTTTAGCAATTTTCAAAACAAAATTTACTAAAGTGAGAAAAGAAAACTATAAAATCAATTTAAGTCTTGCCAACTAGTATTTCGGATTAAGAAATTATTTTTTTACCAAATTATTTTTTAATAAGCGTTTAACAGTACGCAATAAAAAATTTATATAATAATTTTTTATTTAAAGTTATAATATCATAAAATTCATTATATTAATTATATTAAATATTATAATTTGTAATAAAATTTATTATTTATGATTTATTAATTTTTATTATATTATTAGATACATATTAAAATTTTATCATCCATAATAATTATACTCGACTCGAAAAAAATTATTGAGAAGTTGCGTAGCATTTGCTAATAAATCTTGAAACACTCTCTTTATCTCTCTTTTTAATAAAAAAATAATAATTATTATTTTTAATAAAAATGTATTAATGTTAAATACTTAAAGATAAGATTAACAAAATAAAAACATTTATAACCATGGTTAAACATAACACAATTGATACTTAAAAAGAAAGACAACTAATAATTAATGTCTTAAAACAGTGATTAAAAAATGTTGTTAATGAACAGATCTCCTCATGAGTAAAGACAACACTTTTTTTTTTTTTTTATTTAAAAAACACTTTGAATTACTTAACTAACATATAACAAAACCCAAAAAGAAATTATGAAGCATTTTGGAAGAACCTCTGCTCACAATGACTCTTGAAACAAGAATCACAGGAATAAAAATGTTTCAAAACAGTCACATATCCTCTCTAACTTTGAGTTGAATTTGATGATGTCTGATTCAATCTCTTCTTCATCCATGTCAATTATAAGCATCTAAGCCCAAACATTTTTGTTATGAAACAAACCCCAACCCATTTTTGTTTCAAAATCATTGTCAAGCCCAATCCCCTTGCATCATTGCAATCCCCCGAATTGGTGTTCCATCTTTGAAGTAACTTATTTGAATTTATGAAGTAGACTTATGATTTTTCACAAGCCTTTTAAATTATTTTAATAAATATGATAATTTAACTTATAAATATTGTCTTATTTATTAAAATCGTATAAATAAATATTAAATTAAATTAAATTATTTGATGCAAACATATTATTTCAAGTCAAATCAACTTTTTTTGTTCAACGATTATTAACTTGAATTGAACAACATAGAAGAAAAGTTGGAATCAAGTCATATTTCAATAAATTTGAATAAAATTATCCACTTCTGACAACATGTTAGCCTCAATTGAAATAATCACAAAAAAATTGGTCTGGTTAATTTTTCTTACTTCTGCATTAAGAAAGAAGTGGGTACACTTTTTAAAAGAAAAATGGATTCTAACTTTTCATGATTTGACAAATCATATTGGCAGTAAGAAGGGAAGAAAAAATAAAAATAAAAAAGCTAAGCCATTGGGAATATAATTTACTGGGTGTGTCATAGCAAAAGTTCTTTTTGGTTGATTTACATAAGACAATGAGCTACACAACTTTATTGGTTTCTATCATTTTCTTTTTTTTAGCTTTATTCTTCCTTTTTCTTATTTCTTCAACTTTAATTGAATAGTTCCCAACATTTTCCATTCAAATCTCAATGCCGTCTCTGACCCACTCAAACTTCATACTTCTTTAAAACCATCAAGTCCATGCTAAGTTTGGTGATGCATTCAAATTTGTCTTGAGCTCACTTTCAATAAATTTCTATAAATATTTTTTTTTTATTTTTGAAAAGCTAAATATTTTTCTAAAAAATAAAAATAAAAATAAAAATAAAAATTATTTTAAATTTATAGAAACTAAGTTTTAGTAATTATATGCATTTTGTATTAAAAAATAATATCATGTTGTCATCCGTAACGTGTGACGTGTCTTAAAGACACTCACGCTCTCAGTAGCGCGTAACGTTGAGTAATCCTTGTCTTTCGTTTACAAGTCAACTCGAAGACCATTAACAAGACCGAAAAGTAATAAAATTATTATTATCATATTCAATAAAATAATGTAAAAAGAAAATTCTGACCAGTGATCTTAATTTTAAAATAAAAATTGCAATAAAATATAATTAAAGAGAATTTAAAATTCTGGGTCATTGGATTTAAAGTGTACGGTGTGCTGTTCTTAAACTACGTACCATCGTAGACCAACGATAGCGACATTCACACCAATGCTTTGTTTCGACCTCTGCAAGAAAATTTAAAAGAAAATAAAATTAAGAAGAAATGAAAAAAAATAAGTAACATTTTAGATTCGTTTAAATATAAATTTAATTCATGGACTTAATACTGTTTTTATGCTTTAGGTTTTATATAAAAAAAACAATATTTTGTTTTTTATATAAAAAGTTATTTGCAGTTTTTCATCAAAGTTAAAATATATTAAATTTAATTTTTATATTTGAAATTATTTTTATTTTATTTTATCCCTTATGTATAAAGTTATTTTAGTTTATGTAAAAAATAGACTAATATCGTTACAATTTTGATAAATATTAATGATTGTTTTTAATTATTTTACATAAAAACCTAGACGTAAAAGATGTTCATATAAAAACTAAAACAAAAAACAATCAACTGAATTAAAATTAAAATTTGACCTTTAAACTATTTATAGTAAATTTTTTAAAATTTATTATTTATTAAATGATATAAAAGTATAAATGAAAAAAATAGTATTTTAATATATTTTTTGTTTATGTAAAATAATATTTTATTTTTCTTGTTTTAAAAATAAATGTATTATGTAGAACATAAAATAAGTATTTTAAAAATTTGATTATACTCCAGCCAATTTTCTCACTTCTCATGATAGAATTTAAGCAAATTTCATATTTAAAAATGATAATATAAATTCAACTACTCAAATTGACTGGTATAATTTATTAAGTTAGTTGAGATTTAAAATTTATTAATTCTCTTATTTCATCTCATCTAACTTACAATCTAAAACGTTACAGCAGAATAGACCTAGTATTTAAATATTTCATAACTAAAATATTTGAAATTTTAAGACTTCTTTAATCTCTCAATCCTTATGTTTAATGGATAACAAATATTTAAAATTTAATTTCAAATAAGTTAGATTTTTTTGTTGTGGTTTTTCATTTAATCTATATTTTATAGGTTTTAGTTTAAATTTAAGTAGATCAATCTACAAATGATCATAAATTTAATCAATTGCAAAAAATCTGAACAAGATAACCCAATGTGTTATCGATGGATTGTTAATGGGTTGAGGGTAGATTAACTTACTTTATAATCCTTACTTTACTTGCACTATTATTTGTTTCTCTTTTTTATTTTTTCCTTTTATTATCCAAACGATTAATTTCTTTAATTTTTTTTTCTTCCACGTTTCCTTCTCACCTCTATATAAACAAACAAACAAATATAGCATAAAATACCCTTTTACTACTTATACTAGTTTTATAAATTAATAACAGACTTTTAACAATTTACATAATAATTTGTAACTTTGGACGTTTCATAAAAAATTCATTATTTTAATATATTGGTTCAAATTATTAACAACAATTAAATATTTTTAGTAATTTTTTTATTATTTACAACTTTAATTCCCAATTTTTTTAGGTAAACTTACATAAATTTATTGTATAATAAAATTTAGACAAATATTAATTTCAATATTTAGGATTAAATTAAAACAACTAATAATAATAAAATTTTATCAAAATATTAGTTTTAAATGCTTTAACCAAGCGGAAAAAAACTGAAATTAATACAATCTTAAAAATTATCTTTACTTGATCACCAACAATCTTACTTTTTATATTATTATTTGCTTGAATTCAATATTAAATTCACTAATTGACTATTCACCACATATTATATTCACTGATCAAACATTCACACTCGCTTGCGTCTTCATGGTCTGAGAACAACCTCGAATTTACCAAAAATAAGGGGAAAAAAAAAGCATGTCTTTGAATTCGATTCTGTGTTGTCATCTCAACCTGATTCTTCTCAGTGCTTTGGTACTTTTTTGTTGTTCTCTTGGCCACTGCACTGCAAACGATGATGAACTGGGAGCCACTGAAGATAACATCTTCACTGTTTCCAGCTTCAGCTACCCTGAAACTGCCATCAGACCTTTTGATTTGCGCTATATCAGAGGTGGGTCACCCGATTCCCAGTGACCCTTTTCTTCAATTGTTCTGTTTTTGTTATTGTTGTTCTTCTTGAAGCATTTTCCAGTGTGTTGTTTAATGGGTCGGAATTGAATTTTGAAGTATGTAGAAGAATTTGCTTGCCAACAATTTTTCTCACTCTCTCTCTCTCTCTCTCTCTTTTATATTTTTTTAATTTCAGTTCAATGTTGCCGGGTTGGTTAGTCTGGAATTGACTTATTCAATATCCGGGGTTTCAAATTGTTGTGGGTTTAGAGTTCCAGGTGAATGATTATGCAGTTGTCCTGATTTTATTATATGGTCTTGTTAACTAGTGATCCCGGGGCAAGGACACTGACTAAAGTTTTAAAATTTGTGTTCAAAATCTTGATAGAATGTATTAAAATGCGGAGATAAGGGCATTTTTACGTTTTTAAACAAATATTTTTATTTCTTAATCAGTCACTGATTTGTATGTCTTGTTTTATTTTATCTAGAACAAGGTTAAGGTCAGAGTTAAACCCTCTTGAAGGAAACTTAGGTGACTTGAAACAAATTAATAATGGTGTTGATCGTATGAGTGTTATGTATTGCAGAGATAGGTAAACTGCACTATTGACAATAGCCTTGTTATGAGGGTACAATTGTATGTTTAACAACTGAGAGTCATGAATTGAAGGGTATGATACTACCTTATGATTGTGTGGTTGTCATTTGTTCTCTAGTTTGTGATCAATTGAATTTTGCCTTGACCAAGTTGCTACAGTTTTGTATGAAATTTTGTGGTGGTTGATTTGTGAGGTTTGTCTGGTGTCTCATTTCATTCTTCTTTCTTTCCCTGCCATTGGCACTTCTTACAATGTTGTGTTTAAGTCTAACTATTATGCATGGAATCCCTATATGAGCAAGGTAATAATAAGCTGTTTCAGATTTGAAAAGAGATGAGGGATTATAACAATTTGACTGGAGAAGCTAAATATTTTTTTCCTTTCTACTGTTTTGGCAATTTGTTGCACCGGTGCTGTTATTCTTCTCGTTCAATAAAAATAAAAATCACTGTCAAACTTATGGATGATCTTGTATCTTGATGTTTTCTCATAATGTTTCAGTGGACATACCACCGGGGTTTTCTGCAGTATCCATAGCGTTGAACTCAGATGTAGACCTTGTAAGTATATCTATAGTTCTTTCCAGATAGGAGCAACTTAGGATACTAGCATCTGTATTGATGTCTGTTGCCTGGGGGAATTTGTGTTGCTTTCAGTTAAAATTGTTTCACATGCTTCTATTTTGATGTTTTTTGCTTTATAATGCCTCATATGGCGTAAGTTGTAATAATGCAGTTCCTTGGTAAAAATCCTATATTGCTAATTACAAGTCTGTTTATATTTTTGCTCTATTTATTTATTCAATTATTTTAAATTTCTATTCCTTTAATTATTAAAATTATTATTTAACTATTTAAATTTCTCCCTTGTTTGTTTTGCTACAAAAAATCGTATGGGGAACCTGATTTCAGGATATGATCTTTCTGCTTGATCAGCTTTGACTTGTTTTCCTCCCTCACTGGTTCATTAATACATTGCTTTTAGGATATTGCAAGAGTTGAAAGGGTTCCAGAAAGCGCACTTCCAATTATATGCTTTAGAGATGGCAGCCCACCTCTACCAGATGCTTTAAACACATCTCTGAAAGATTCAGCTGTCAAAGGTAGAAGCCCCACGTAAATATATTCAACCCAAGTTTAAACTGTTCCATGAATTTAATATTTGAGCGCATAAATTCTGTCTTAAATTTCATTCTAAGATTCTTATTAACTTGTTTCAATATTTTTTATTCACACGACGAAATCATTGGAGCCCCGGCAAGTTCCCATCAATTGTTAAATTAGTATCATAGTCTTTATTGGATATTCTTCTTTCAATTCATTAATATGTGTTTTTTTTTTTTTTTCCATTATTTTACATGCCCTGCCACCATGGTTTCTTTTGGCTATCATGTATTGGATGAATATTGAATCCATGAATGTGTAATGTTTTCTTCATTGCTTAGTGTTTCACTTTGTTCTGAAGCACCGTGCTGTTCCTTCTTCCTCTTGCTCTCTATCTCCTCCTCAACCAAGAAAAAGGACTATATTTCTTCTTGAACTGTCTTATGTATTGCCATTTTACAATTAGTTTTCATTGACCTTTTTCATTCAGGAATAAATGGTCTTGATGTTGAGCAGTGCTTTCCTATGGAGAAAAATATCACTATGAAATTGACAAATGAACAGGTATTGTTGCAAGTCCTTTTTACTTTTGGCAATAACTTATTTGTTTATAGGTATTGTATATTTAAGCTCCAAGTCTCCTTTCTTTTGAGATCTATAATGACATAGCGATATCATTCATAGTATTAAAATTCCTATATCACTAGTGGGGAAGGATTAGTTCAAAAGTGATTTTGCATATTAATCTCTTCTAATATACTAGACAATAAACATAAGAATTATTGTCAGATATCTCCAGGTGCTTGGTACATTGGTCTTTTCAACGGCATTGGACCTACAAGAACACAATCAAAGATGGTATGGTTTATTGTTCAAATATTATTTTCATCACAATGAAATTTGAATATTCCAATTATTTTTCATCATGAATTGCAACTATTTGTTATCTGTTCTGAGCTGCCTTTTGTGCATTTCTATACGATAATGGGATTCTAACTAGTGCCCTTAGAGCATTGATTATGATGTAATAAATGCACAGTATAATCCATGATTAATTGAAGTTTCCTGCGAATAATATAATTTCAAAATAAAATAAATGTTAGTGTGCTGGTGGCAATGTGTATTCTTATAATTGATTTATTACTACTAGGATTGTTGTAGTGCTAGAAGTTTTCGCCAGTGATTTTTATAAGCAAAGAGATTGGATGGGAAAGCTCTTATGACCTGACTTTTTTTGTTTTTCTTTTACCATATTACTGTTGGTTTTTAACAAATTTCCTGTTTGATATTTTTTTATTCTCTCTAAAAAAATCGGTAACTCCTAAAATGGTTGAGGGTTGTCATGACCATCATGAACTAATGCTGATACATAGTCATTTAAGTTTATATTTAATGGAGGCTTTATTGATTCTATCCTAGTAGATTGATTAATATACTCCCTGGTTGATTGTTCACAAGAAAGACTAGAAGTTAGAGGCCCTTGACTGAGTGGTTGAAGTTGATACCTGATTAGCTAAGCTAGTGAGTTTCCTTCTTGATTTTGGCACTTGAATCAAGTTTACTATTACTGGTCTCATCTAGACAAGAAATGTTCAGCACACCTAGAGTAATACATCATTTCTCGATATAGTAGCCCACTTTCTTTCTTCTAGAGCTACTGAAAGAAATTGAATTTCACAGTGGGTTTAAGACCAAGTAGATCATTATTGATAAAAATGGTACAGATCAATGTGTATATCATAAATTCTGTCCAAAATTTCAGATTGGACACAGCCCCAAATACTGATTTCTGCCTTTATTTTTGCATTTGTCTCTAAATGAAAATTACTTATTTCCATTTGGTTCATTCAATATTTTACGGAAGTTCTTGATTCAATAAACTACACATTGATGAATAATAGTGACTTCTATACCTTTACAGATTATCCGAGGGCCATCATACTCTTTTAGTGCCAATATAAGCGTGGAAGCATGCACAAATTCAATGATGAGGGGGGAATTCTGTAACAGTACAGTCTATCCACTTTCATGCACAACATCTGATGTCTATAATTCTATGAAGGCTACAGTTCAGAAGCCAATGATGGAAAATGCAATGGCCTGCAAAAGTAATTTTGAAGCATTTTGTGTTCAGGAAGGTGTACCAAACTTTTACTCCTTGGATATTGCAAATGTGGCAGAAGAATTGACTATTATGGCAGCAAATGTCAGATTCAATACTACATCTTCAAATAACGCATCTGGTGTTTATGATGTTAAATTAATGTGTTTTGCTCGCCATGGTGCAATTCCTTCAGAGACTTTGCATGACTATTCCATTGATTTAAATAAATCCCCTTTGGTTATCCATTCTCCATTGCTTGGTCGTTTGTACATTAGTATTTTACCAGTTAATCTTACAAAGAAGTTGGGAGGGACTCTGGATGACAATTTAAGGATTTGCTATTCAATAGAATCGCAAATACTTCAGTGCCCGCTTGGGAAAGCTGGAGCAAATTGCACAATGGACAGCTACACACTTCAGGTAGTATTGATTACTAGATGTGTCTCTATATGTTTTTTGTACTGGTGCTTTATTTCAATATAAAGGTTAACTTCAAATTATGTGAGTTCAATATTTCTTGGACTGCAGAACTCGTGATTTAGGTTATGACTTAGCTAGAACAAGGATATGATAACTTGTAATCATGTCTTGATAGTTAAAAAAACATAGACATCAGTTAGAAAGAATGAAATAAAATAGTACACAAACATATTTTTCAGAAGGCTACACCCTGTGGTAGAATCAATTCTTTATCTTGATACTAAAAGATATTTTCTCACAGGAAGAAATTATTGACAAGGTAAGAATGATTTTCTGCAGACAGTTCTAAGGAGAGGTCCAACCCCATTTGAATCATATTATTTACCTGTTGGTGAGGGAGCATCTTCTGCCAATTTTCCTCTTGAGCCACTTTCAAACAAGTCATCAAATGGAGGAGAAACTGATGACATTTGGACTTATTTTATTTTGGAAATCCCTCGTGGTGCAGCTGGAAGAAATATTCACATACGGCTATCTGCAGACGTGAAGATCAGTTATGAAGTTTATGCTAGATTTGGTGGATTGCCTTCTCTTGATAGCTGGGACTACTACTATGCTAACAATACAAGGAAGAGTGAACAATCTGTGTTTTTTATGCTATATGATTCGAGTGATGACAAAATTGATTTCTACATTATATATGCTAGAGAAGGAACTTGGGGTTTGGGTCTAAGACAACTTAATACCAACAGTGTTTATGTGAAAGGGCAAACTGTCATGTCTATTTCACTTGAAGGATGCCCAAAACAGTGCTCCTCTAATGGAGACTGTAAATATTCTTTTGATGCTAGTGGATTGACATCATACAGGTTTATGTTACACCCTTTTTTTCGTTCTTAATTTATCAGTTCTGTTTACATTTTGTGTGCTTGGTTGAAATTACTTGGCAAGAACTATATAAGCCATTGGTATTTACTAAGACATTTTGTGAAATAGTCAAATACTTAATTACGGAGTCTTCAGATTGCATCATTTGTATTTGATGCACAACTTTATAACAGTATCTTTCCATTTTTAATGTTTACTTTTTGGCCTCAGCTTCTGTTCTTGTGATCGAAACCATGGTGGCTTTGACTGTAGTATTGAAGTTGTATCACATAAAGGTAATTGTTAATTCTAGAAATTGATAAATTGTTTTGGTTTCAAGTATCATGGTTCGAGCCTCCCTTTCTTTGTCATGTTATTTTATCTGATTTCCTGTCTACTGTTTAGATGAAAAATGGTCTGTTTTTTAAGTGACAGCATCCAGCAGAGAACCCAAACTAAGTAGTTTACAAATATATTTTGTTCTATCTTTTTGTCTTTTTTTCCATTCTATGATATCATTTATAATGATTTGTTGCAACCATTATCAATTTATGTATTTTTGTTAGTGAGTTACTAAATAAAGTAGGTGAATAGTGAGTTTGAGTTGAGTTTAGTAGCCAACTTGAATCTAGAATATAAAAACATAAAACCTAGTATGATTTACTATTGTTTTTCTCTGGCGTTTGTCAAATATTGGATATGGATTTTCTGTTGCGTTTATATGGATATGGATTTTTTTTTGTAGGGCATATAATGCAATCAATATTTCTCATTGGATCGAATGCTGCGGCCATACTTCCTGCCTATTGGTCCCTTCGGCAGAAGGTAGCTCTTGATCTTTCTTTCTAACCTCGTATCTATTTTTTCTCATAAATATTTGGTTGCATCATGATTTATCTATGTGCAAATGCATATTGATATGGACTATTTAGAACTATATTTATATTTAATTGTTGAGGATAAATAATTCTAGGTATTTAAGTCAACACAATGAGATGTGGAAAAATGATTTGAATTCTTAAGAAGTACCTATATGCTCACTTAGACAGCATTACATATAAATTTCTCACAATAAATTGACTCGTTAAAAGATTGTGTTGACAATGGAACCTTTTATTTATATACAGGCATTTGCAGAATGGGTTTTATTCACATCAAGTGGAATTGCAAGTGCGCTATATCATGCATGTGACGTAGGCACATGGTGTCCATTGACCTTTAATGTTTTACAGGTTACTGCTCTTCCTTTAGAGGTCTCTCTTACTTTATCTTAAAACTTTTTAAAAAATAATTATGAGACTGAAAATGTTACTGAAATGGGTTAAAGAAAGATGTTTTATCAATTGCATAGCTGTGACAAGCTTCAACAATCTGCTGTAACCCGAGTTAGGAATAGGATTCACATTCTTAATGGGATGAAGTGAATTCCCAGGCTTTGGGTGTTGATCACAGTAGCATGTATATGTGCTCAGATGAGAAGTTAGAAATCACTTCATTAAAGATTTTGGGATCTAGAATACAACTCAATACACAATGACTAGTTTTCTGGGAATTTACAGTGACTTATATTTCAATATTTCAGTTCATGGACTTTTGGCTCTCTTTCATGGCTGTGGTTAGCACTTTTGTATACCTTGCTACCATTGATGAAGTATATAAGAGAGCAATCCACACAGCTGTTGCTATACTTACTGCTCTCATGGCTGCAACCAAGGCAACCAGGTAACTTGAATTAGTGGCCAAACAACTCTATATATGCTGCTAAAGATGTTTAAGATTTGTTCACATGTATGCATACTGAAATTTGCAGGTCTTCCAATATTGTTCTTGTCATTGTGATCGGGGCTCTTGGTCTTCTTGTTGCATGGTTGATAGAAATCTCAACAAAGTATAGGTCCCTTTCCTTTTCATTTGGATTCTCCCAAAGTTTCCTTCAAAGGTGAATTCTCTGTACTAAGTAAATTTGTTTGAGCACAGTATTTTCCAGACAACATAATAGTAATTTATGGTACTCTTCGTGCACAATACTTTATTTTCAAAGTATTTTGTGTGTTAAATCTCATATGTTAATCCTTTTAGGTTCCTCCAAGGTGGTCATTGTCACATACTTTATTCATAGCATGATCACAGTTTTATGTTTTTGCTTTAAACTTAGATGTGCTTGAAGATGAACAAGTCTCCAACTAGCTTATGTCTTAAAAATAGTAATAATGGTGAATTTCCACTGCAGTTTGCAAACTATAAAGCAATGGTTCTGTAATCTTGTCAAGACAATTTTGAGACGGTTTCGCTGGGGGTTCTTATTGGTCGGTTTCATTACATTGGCCATGGCAGCAATAAGTTGGACACTTGAAACCAGTGCAAACTACTGGTTTTGGCATAGGTATTACAACAATACTACCCTTTCCACTATCTCTGTTTCTTTGTCTTCTATTTTCTAATAATTGTGTTTGCTCTTTTGAAATGGTTACAGCTTTTGGCATGTCACAATATACACATCTTCTTTCTTCTTCCTTTGTTCAAAAGCAAACATTGTGGATGCTGAGAATCAGCTACCTACAAATGCAAACTATGCGCTGACTCGTCAGGATTCATTTCCAAGAGATAATTAGAAAAACATATTTGGAATAGGAGGGTACAAAAAGGAATGAGAGGTAGATTTTTGGATTTTTGTTTTGCATTAAGGTGACACAAGAATGTTAGGCTGCCACAAATTTGGTAGGTGAAAGATGTGGCTGCTGACACAATTTTTTGGCCAAAGATGTAAACAGTGATCAACAAAGCAGTCTCTTGTAAATTCTTTTCTTCACAAGGTTTGCTTCTTAACATTCATTTTAGGGTGTGTGTGTCTATATATGTATATATTCCATAAATGTCTCTATGCCATAAGATACAAGAAAGAAATCAACAAGTCATAGGAGTTTTGGCCATGTAACTGTAATTTAGAATATCAATGGCATGTGAATTGTATTATATGGAGATTTCTGTTGGTAAAAGCAACTCAACAAATTTGATGGGTCGTAGTTATTTAGTGTGTGATTGGAAATACACTGAAAACTTTATAACGTGGATATAATGCAAAAGTTGTATCTTATAGCGTAGAAATAAATATGGATCTATGATAATTTAAATGTGAATTTAAAGACGCACTTAATTTAGCTATCAATTTTTCAAAAAACAGTTTATACTGTTCAAAATATATTATGTTTTTGGAATACTAAACATTATAATCTGTAGCTGTGTAACAAAAATAAGATGAATTGTTTACCCATACAAGTAAAGAAGCATTTAAAGTTTAAAATACAATTTTTAATTTTTATATTTTTATGAGTATTTTTTTTCTTTTAGTCTTTTATTTTTTTTTACAATTTTGGCCTTTATATTTGCCCAATTTTGCGTTTTGATCACTATCATTAATTTAGTTACATAAATAATTAATGTGTTAGTCAGTCTCTTCGTTAATTACATGGTCATTTAAATATAAAGTGAAAATATGTTATTTAGATATAAAAAACAAACTTTTCTTTCATTAAAAAATAAAGTTACCAAACGAAAGAAGATTTCACTCTCTTAACTTTTTTTTTTCTCTAAAAATCACTTCGTACGAACAAAGTTTAAAAGACTAATTCGAAAGGTTAATACAGTAAATGTATAATCTCATTGTGTTCGTATGTCTGTGATCGATTTATTTTAAAATAATCTTGTGTGAAAACATCTTGTAGTCTTTTACCTTGGACTCAAAAATTTCAAAGATTTAAAGTATCGATAGTGAAAAAAAAAAAATAAAGGGCCAAAATCATTAAAAAAAATTGAAATGATTAAAATTAAAAAATCGTAAAAGTGTAAAGATAAATAAATATTTAGCAAAAAAAAGATAAATAAATATATATTTAATTTTATTTTTAAATCTAATCAAATCCAAAACACTATAATTAGTATAATTTTTTAGAAAAATTCTAATATCAAATCGTATTGTTTTGAAATTTAATAAAAATACACCATTTTAATATAATTTACTTTTAAAATTTAAAGAAAAACTATCAAGTTCATTATTCAACTCAAATAAATATACATCAAAAGTGTATTTTTTCGTCCAATTTAATTTGGATTCGATCTGGATCATATATTTAGATGTGGTAGGTGAATTTATTACTGAAAATTAACTTGGTTGTAATTTAATTTTTAAGCAATACATTTTTATATTTTTTTATTTGATGAAATATTATTCACAAAATCAATTAATTATAATTATTTCAATTTAATTTATGATTTTGAATTCGAAATTTAACTGTATCTCTCGATTTCAAATTTCAATTTGAAATTGTGTACGTATGTTTTCATGCTATCTACTTACATAGAATGCTTCTTCATTTCAACTATCAAATATTAACATTATAAAATATTATACATTATTATTTTTATTTATTAATTATATATTTAAAAAATGCATTAAAAATATAAATATTATCTTCCATTGTTAAAATAATTACTTTATAAGATATAGCCACCTTGCATTATCATGGAATTCCAACCAAATAAAATAATAATAATAATAATGACACGTCGTAAAAGGATTTGAGGGTGCTACTTTCTTACTTTTCTGTTTTTTCTTTAATTAATTAATTATTACAAGGTAAGAAATTATATTTAATAAATTTGTACAATTTTTTTTATAACTTAGTTTAGATAAGAAAGGAAGAAAAAAATGATAAAATAAGTAATGTGATAGGGATAAAAAAAAAATATATTGTTAAAATTTGTTGCGAAAATAATATAACCTTTACAAGATACATGTATAACATGAGGGAAATTTTAATATGCTTTCCATACACATTTTTCTTGTATACATTGATCAAATTACTATAATTAAAAGCCATTAGAAAACAAATTATTAGTTTGGAAAATTCTTGTCAGATGATACATTTTATTATTTAAAATAATTTTTTTCTATTATAAAATAATTTTTAAAATTTTATTGAATTCTATAATTTTTAACAAAAAATTAATATATATATATATTTTTTTATTTTATATAATACTATACATGTTAGAAAAATGGATTATAAATAAATTCTATGGCTATCCAATAATTATATGCAATTACTATTCATATCATTGAATTCTATTAAAAGAAATTGGGGCATTGATATTTAAATTGCAATGGTCCAACCAAAAGCTGCAAACAGTTGTTGCATTAGAAACTTGGACGATATAAAAGCACGTTGCCATTTTGCTTCTCAATTTATTACTAACGAACCCATCTCATTATTGTATCATATCATAAGAAGCACATATCTACCGTAACTCAAATATCTTTTTCATTCCTTTTCTTCTCTTAGACCATCAAGTGAAAATTCCTTAAAAACTTGAATAATTGATAAAGGTGCAAAGAAGAAAGAGATAAGCAATTATTTTCATATTTTATGGTGCTAGTAATGTGATGTAACTATAAAAAAATATGATAAGTAATGTGACTAAAAAATTATATATATATATATATATATATATATATAGAGAGAGAGAGAGAGAGAGAGAGAGAGTCTTGTTAATTAGTGCCTTTATGGTACTACTTAAAAAATTAAACATAAAAAAGGTATATTTATTAAGATTTTTTACAAAATTTTTCTACTTTTGATTTCTTAATCAGTATTTTGATTTCTCAATCAGTATCTTAACATTTATCACATAAATAAATTGTGAAAAAAATCTCTAATAACAGGATCTCCCTGTTATAAGTCCCAACAGGTCCAAATGAAGAAAATATTTAACTCTCAAATGTAATATTTAATGCAAGCATTGATACACCAATCAAGTTTCCAATCAATAATACAATCTTTTCTCCTAGTATGTCACATGAACAAAAAGAAACGGACAATTAAGGAAAGCACACTCATTTTTAAGGTAAATGTTTTTTCCCATTGCTATACACAAGCCAAAACTCTCATGTACAAATCCACAAAATATGATTTTCTAATTGCCACCCCTAGTCCAACATCAGCCATCCCATATGTCAAACCTAAGTCAGTTCCTTATATATTTTTGGTATCATTTTTCAATTAAAATCAAAGCTTTACTTCAATAATTTGCTCCATGAAAGCTGATATTTAAGATTATCACATGTTACCAAGATAAAACTCTAATGTGATTGAAAAAATTACCAAAAATATCCAGTAAACTGTACTTGAGTTTATTTCTTTTTGGCTATGATTTGTCCAAACTCACATTCTTTAATGCAAATGTTGGAACTTTAGCCTTCTCATTCTTTCAATGAGGAACTCCTTTGGGAAGAAGTGGAATATGAGCGAAAATTTGAAGCTGATAGCTCTCTGTAGTCCTTGCGGATGGCCCAAAGGATCTCAGCACATCTCTTCATATTTGGCCTACTTTGTCTACGAGGAGCCAAACATTGTAATGCTAATTCAAGTACCTTTTCTAGTGCTAAATTATTTGCATCACTATGATCCAGTCTTGGGTCCAACACTGATATAGCACCTCCCTCAATAAACTTCTTCATGGCCTGCACTTGTCGCAAACAAATTACACTCAGAATCAACATTTAATTAAGCACATTCAACAAGCTTATCAAATGAAAGCTTATAAGCTTATTTGTGAAACTTTTCTGAAATAAAGTAAAGAGTTTATTTCAATTCTTAGGGTTTAGTTTAAGAACTAAAAAGTATTAAATTTTAATTTAAAACAAACATATTTATTACGTTAAAAAGTTATAAATGCATTTTTAAATAAAAAATATTATTTTTGGGTACTTAAACTCAGTTCTAAAAGCTTAGGTTAACATTTTCTATTATAAAATGATCATGTCACTTTTGTGGGCTTTGATAAGCTTCTTATAAGCTTATTCCAAATGCTTCTTCAATTCTTCTTACCAGCTAAAATTTTGAACAACGTGAATTGAGAAGGTGCAATCATGAAGAGACGGTGCTAAGCTAAACTTCTAAACAAAATGGAACATCATAGAAGATCTTGTTTTTCATAAAATTATGAAAAACTACTAGTACTAAACAGCAAACAAGAGAACAATATGAAGGAAAACAGCACAGTACACACCCATTTTGCCGTTATTCTCTCCCTGAGTTCAAATTTTGGTTCAATGGGGCGTCTTCCTGTGACAAGTTCAACAAGCAAAACTCCAAATGAATACACATCACTCTTCTCAGTTAGTTGATAAGTTTTCAGGTATTCAGGGTCCAAGTATCCAGCTGTTCCTTTAACTTGGGTAGAAATATGAGTCATGCCAGAATCACTATCAGCTGCTTGTCTAGCAAAACCAAAGTCTGCTACCTTAGCTCGCAAGTTTTCCGTGAGGAGAATGTTGGAAGATTTTATGTCCCTATGAATGATAGGATGATCTACAAAGAAAATACAATGAATATACAACACTTGTGAGATTCTCTTTCAGCATTCTTTGTCATAAGGGACAAACAACTATGCACTTTGTCATGATGAAATTAATGATTTGCTTGATAACCAATGACTTGTACCTATATACATATGAAGATAAGTGATAGCATGAGACACATCAATTGCGATGTCTAGACGAGCAGCGAGGTGCAGAATGTTTCCATGAATGCCTGTAATAATCCTTTGATCAGGTTGTTGTAGGCACAAAAAGCCAATGCTTAAGGCAAGGTCTAACTACAAAAACACAAAATAGCTAAAAGGCTAGAGTTAGAGAAACTCACAATCTAAATGTTCTCTAAGGGTTCCATTTGGAACATACTCCACAATAATAATCCTTTCATCCCCTTGCTCCAAGTATCCATAGAATTTGACCAAGTTCAAATGTTCCACCCGTGATAGTGTTTGGATCTCGCTCTGGAACTCTACCCCCAAATGTTTCTCATACACAATCTGCTGAACAAAATGAAATTAACCAATAACCTTTGGGTGCTTGTTATCACTAACACTCTTATTCTACCTAAATGGTGATACTCACACAACTGAACAAAGGAAAAGGCTAAAACCAACTTAGTACATGCTTGATTTATAACTGAAAATAATCAATCATCGGAACTTCCAACAAAAGACACAAGCTCAAATTAAAATCTAAGAGTAAGATTAATTTTAAGGACAAAACTTAAGTGTTGTTTATTGATCAAAATTAGAGTTTTATCTTTGATGATATGTAATATTATTTAATGCAATTTTTTTTTAAAAATAAAACTATGATTTTAATTGATAAACAACACCAACAAAACAAAACAAAGTATAAGTTTTATTTTAATGTATATCTTAATTACATTTAACAGTTCAAAATTAATTCTATAAAAATCAATTCTTCTCAACTTTAAAACAAACAGACTCTAAACAACCTTCTTGGCACGTTTTACTGCAACAACAGATCCATCTAGGAGTTTGGCCTTGTAAACTGCCCCAAAGCCACCTTGACCAATCTTGAAAGAAGGGGAGAAGTTTCTTGTGACTTGTAAAATTTCCTCCATGGTGAATTTCACAATGCCAGGTTCCTTCCCCCGGATTGAGTTCTGTGAACTGATGCCGATACCTAGATTTGAGCCACGCCCTCTTTGACTACCAGCCCCTGAATCATTTAATACAGTTAAGAAAAAAACACAAAAGCTTATTCTAATTCATCCACTCCATTTTATGAGCATGAATATAAATCTACTCATAGCAGCACTTCCCAAAATGGTTCACACACATTCATATTAGATGCTTAAAAACTTAAGAAAACTATATAAACTAAACTAGTGACCTAAATGACATAATGCATTGATGAAATTAAGCAATTCCTGGCTATGTAACTTGCACTGCACAAAAGCCATGATTTTGAGAACTGGGATTTCACCAAATTATTGAGCCATAATCAAAGTCAAAACCAGGATCAAGATAAAATTCAGAGCTATAGTAACATACTAGCCACTAAAAATTGATGACGCAAAAATCACATGTTCCAACTCAAAATTTCTTGACATTTCTACCCTTTTTCTCAGCAGCTCAAAAACAGAAACTTTTTGAGACACAAACTCAAACTCCAAGATCCAAATAAAAAAATTAAATAATTCTCCAAAAGAATACTCAATTTTCCACCTATTTATTCTTCAACAGAGAGTGCAAAAAACAGAACTGTTAGTATTACTAGATGAAGACTTGAATTCCACGGAATCCTCAAGACTCTTGGAGCTATTGGACTCCGGCGGCGTGAAGCAAGCGGAAAACATTCCGGCGAAGGACCTGGCGGCGCCGGCGAGGGGGTTCTGGCGGCCAGAGGATGTGGTGGAGGTGCTGAGTTCGGAAGAGGGGTATAAGGGGGAGTGAGGAACGCGTCCCGGAGTGCTCCGGTAATCGGAGCTGGATCGCCGGCGGTGAGAATACGGAGATGACATTTTTTTTAGAGAGAGAAAATTGGCGCGTAGGGGTTAGAGAGAGAGTCAACTGAAGTGAAGTAATGAGTGCAACGACTTTGCGTTTTGTTTGGAAATAATTAAAAGTGGGTGGCGCTATTATGCGCCGTGGAAGCCAAGCTTTGCAAGTTGCATCTCTTCAATTTCGGTGGTTGCTGCCAACGTTCAATTAATTGACTAATTTTCGACCTCTTTTTATACCACTTTTTCAAATCCTTCCTTATTTTCCTCCCAAAATGCTTTCAATTTTTTTTTCACGAAACGTTACACAAAATTTTTATTAGTAATTAAAAAATATTATATGATTACTTTAAAATTAATAAATTTTAAAAAAATATTATACTTAGTAATAACAAATAAATTTATACTAAATAAAATAAATATATAACATAAAAAAACACTTAACATAATTAAAAATAATATAATAAAATGATTATGATATAAAAACATTGTATTAAAATTGAATTCACATGAATTTTCGGTAGTATATCAATTCATTTTGTTGTTTATTTGTCTGTGTTTGGGCTTCTACTAGTCTCTCTGACCCTGTTTTTCTAAAATGAGAAGGATAAACACATTTTCATGGTACATTAATGTAAATATTGAATGATAGTTCCTTTTTAAGCTGTTTGAAAATAATTCTGGAAAAGTCGACAATGATGGTAACCTAAGAAGAAAAGAATGTTTTCGATGTTTAGCAAATGGCTAGAGGTATCCAAAAAGGAACATTTCATGCATTGACTTAGCTGTTAAATTTTGATGAATCAGATTTTAATGAGACTTTCAAAGTAGGCTATGACACTGTTTGATGTCAATGTTTGGACCAATAAATAAAAAGGAACTCATATATATATATAAATTATAAATTTTACAAATGAATCAGATTTTAATAATGTTTTAATAGCTAATATTTTTTGGTATGGAATATATATTGTGACCACACCACGCACATATATTACTGCAATCCTAATCATTAATCTTTCAATTAAAAAATATAATTTCAAAGTTTATTCTTTAGATTGTATCCTGATATTTTACAAGACTATATAGTTTAAATATATGAAGTCATATAAAAATTTCTAAAAGTTTTGAAATATATATATATATATATATATATATATATATATATATATATATTTTACATAATGAAATACTAAAAAAAATTAAAAGAAAAAATGTATTATCAAATAATTAGAAGTCATATAATTTATTTTCTTTGGTCAAGAATTTGGAGGTAGTTAACATTTAATTTTCAAGGTTGTTGATTGACAATGCAGGCATTCCAAGCTCAAAGAGTTTGATCAAAGCATTTTAAATTGGGCTTCGTTGGCATGAAAACAGTAATTGTCATTTTTCTTCCTTTCCGTGTGCTACTTCACAAATCAACCAACCCTTTGTTTTTGATTGGTAATCTTGCAATTTTATAAAAGCATAATCTTCTTCCCTGCGCTGATTCACAGTCCACGAAATTATTTTTTAAATTTAGCTTAGTTGAAATTTTACTTCTTATAGTTTAATTTATACATGATTTTAAATTTTTTTATTTTAATTACTTGTATAATTTTTTAATTATTTACATTAAATTCCTCACTCTAATGTCTTATCTGATACTAAATAAAAATATAATAGAAGCGTGACATATCATTGGTATATGAAATGTGTAAAATATAATACAAATTTTATTTAATTATTATACATACTTTTTTATTTTTAAAACTTGTATGAATTAATGATATATTATAATTTTGTTATATTTCTATTGATTATTTAATGAAATTTTAGGATGAAGGATGTAATTTAAACAACTAAAAATTTATGAAGACTAAATATAAGTAATTAAAAATTAAAAAATTAAAAACACACATAAGTTAAATTATGAAGAGTAAAAATACAATTAAGCCACCATTCAATGTAGTTTAAGAATAAAAATGAAAAATATATTTTTCCAATAACTATATAAATTTAAAAATTAAATTTTAAGAAAAGATTTAAATATTTTATATTTCTCTGCATAAACTAAATTGGTATAATTTCCGGTTGAGAAATATTAACAAATAGTAGTTAAAAATACCATATGATAACATAGAGACAAGATATAAATATCTTAATAAGTTGATAGTGTAAAATTATTAAACACTTCTACTTCAATACTCTCCTTTTCATGATTTCGTTAGCAGTATTACTACGTTACATATTTAGAGTCATCATTTTGCATTTGGTACCTCACACGAGTAGCAGCATTTAACAATATATGGATGAAGCATTTGTTTAGCATGTTAGTTCAAACAAGATCACAGATGACCAAGTACCATATTTTAAGCAAAGCATGGGATAATCCATGCATATAAATCATTATGTAGATGATGGTCTCATGCATTCTTTACAAATTCATACAATATTTTCTCATTCATTGGTCTAAGAAGCATTTTTAATGTGGCATAAATTTCTAATGCTTTAGGGTGTGCCTTATCATTGGATACAAATGAATGAACTTGATTAGCAATCTCTATCCAGCTGCAACCAGGGACTCTTGCATCACCCTTATGCTCCATCATTTTTCGAACTCTTTCCACATCATACCAATGTCTATGGGATGCATAAATGTTAGACAAAACTGCATAGTTTACATTCTTCTCTGGCTCTATGATGAAGAGCTTTTCTGCAGCCCATTTAGCCAGTTCTATATTTGCATGGAGATTGCAAGAACCAATAAATGCTGCCAAAGTATTTGATTCAGCTTCCATTGGCATTGACCTCATGAATTTAAAAGCCTCATTTATAAGACCATATCGTCCAAGAAGGTCAACAAGGCAAGTATTGTGCTCTGAATCAGGAACAATCTGATACACATTGGTCATTAAGCTAAAGTAGTGAAGACCCCTTGTGACGAGCCCGCCATGGACACAAGCAGAGAGGACGCCAAGAAAAGAAATTTGATCTGGTATTATGCCATAAGATAGCATCTTATCAAACATCTCAATTGCTTCCAAGGCAAGACCGTGAAATGCATATGCATTTATCAATGAAGTCCATGTAACAAGATCAGGATCTGATGCTAAGCTGAAGCACTTACATGCACTAGTGATACTACCACACTTGGAGTACGCACTAATCAAAGAATTAGCAACAGATAAAAATTCTTGAAATGATAATTTAACTGCAAGAGCATGAGCTTGCATTATTTCAGTAACAGCTGAGGCATAGCCACATGAACTAAGAGTGCTGGAAATAGTCAGTTCATCAGGGAAAAACCCTTCGCGAAGCATCTCTCTGAGAAGTTTCATAACCTCATTTCCGTCTCCGTAATTCCCACACCCAACAATTATGGTGTTCCATGCCACCACATTTCGAATCACCATCCTATCAAATACTCTACGCGCGTCAATTATATTTTCGTTTTTCGCATACATATTGATCAATGTACTAGCCACTAAAACATCTGAATCATATGACTGTCTAAGAATAAGACTATGAACCTGCTTTCCAAAGTCATAATATTCCAAAGTATCACATGTACTAAGCAGGCTGCTAAAAGTGAACTCGTCCCCATTTGCACCATCCAACCGCATCCAGCTGAACAAGCTAAACGCCTCTTCTGGTAAACAATTCAAGACAAAGCAAGAAATCATCACATTCCACATAACCAAATCTCTACTTGGAACAACATAAAAAACTCTCCATGCATTCTCAACTAAACCACATTTTGCATATAAATCAACCAGAGCGCTTCCAACAAAACAATCCAACTCAAATCCCAGTTTCACTACAAAGCAATGCAATTGGATACCCAAATCAATGTCATGAAACTTAGCACAGCCACCAATGAGAGCATTAAAAGTTGTACCATCTGGAACCACCATTTCCAACAACATCCTTTTGAAATAAGACAAACCCAGTTGTGAATTCAAGTCACTTCCATTACCACATCCACCAACACCACGAATTAGAATATTCCATGACACCACATTTCTGACAGGCAATTCCTCAAACAGTTTCTCTGCATCTTCAATTTCCTTGCATTTAAGATAAACACTCAAAATCTGATTTTGCAAGGACAGAACATGACAAAATCCAAACTTTATCAAGTGGGCATGTAATTGTTTTCCTTCAGGAAGAAAGGCCCTTTTGGAAGAAACTTTGAGGGCATTGGCACAAAACAAATGAACAGTGTGAGGATCCCTGAAATGGGTTTCATGAGGAATTGGCACAGAAGCTCTGAGTCTGCTCCATGAATGGGTGCATTGAGTGACAAATGAATAAGGGGTTGGAGGGAAACACAGCTGCTTTATAAAATGGAATTTGCAGAGCATAAGAGGCTAAACACAGTTGAACTTGCAATTTTCATGTTAGAGATTTGGGCAAAGGTTCAACGGTTCATGGCATGTAAAAGCATTTTTTATTTTCTTAAAAATAATGCTAATAAGTGTTCATGGCATACATATTCAATCTTCTACTTCTAGATACTCTCTACATGGCTTAACCTTCAAATAAAAAGTGGCCTCCGCATATTATAATAATATTATTATTAATATCTTTAAATAATATATTAATTATTTTTTAAGACTTGGCTTTATTACTTTATTTAAAGATAACTCAATTGATTTGTCGCAAAAATTATACAATAAATCTTTAAATATACTTTCAATTCAGGTCGTATTAAAAAGATTTAGTTTTACTTTTAAAAAAAAAACATAAGTGGAATACACAAAACAAAGTATTCTTGTGTTCGAAAAATATATTAGACTCGTGTAAACCAAGACTTTCCTTCATCTAATTAATTTTTTTCTCTGCTAGATATTACTTTAAGAATTTGTTAATCAATGTAAAGGTATTAATTTAAAAATATTAAAAATCAAAGAAAATATATTAATAATAAAAAAAGTTCTTATTTAAATATATTTTGTCTACTGTATTGCCTTAGCCAAGGTTGGTCTCTTGGGCTTTATTTTTTTAATCAAACATCTTTGGACAAAAAATAAATAAATAATTTCAATAGCAAATATCCAATTTAATCAAAATTTAGGATTCTTTTTTTTTTTCATTTTTCTATCCACTCTTGATGCACCTAAGTGCCATTCTTTAGCATGAATAAAGCTATGCGATAAGGGGGAAAATTATTGTAAGCTTTCAAAAAAATTGAATTGATATAATTCATCTAATAATGAAAATGAGTGTTTGATATCAGAATCCTAATAAATGCTTTGTTTTATTCTTTAATATTGTGATAATTATTTTATATTTTTTAATATCATTCTGCTGATTGTACCCAAAAACACTATCATTATAGGATAAGAATGTGGGTCCACACATTTATAAAATACACGCCAAATGAATTATTGGAAATAATTTTATATCATCAAAGATTTTCGACGACATAGCGCTTAAAAATGATTTGGTTCTTTTAAAAGTGCATCGATTATATAAATTGTTGACTAAAATATTAATTATTACTTTTTAATATTTTAATAATTTATTGTTATATATATGTATTATAGTGTAAATTTTAACTGTTCGATTCTAATTATTTGTTATAATTTTATATTTTATCTTTCAAAATATATCCTTTACTTTGAGGAATTAACAATGAAATTTTACACGTATAATTATAATGTGTTTGAATAAACTACATTTTTATTTTAAAGAATTTATAATCAATATTTCTTTTAAAATAGTCTAAATCAGTAGTATTTAGTTAAGAACTGACCTTACTCCGAACTTTCTCATATTTTCTTCAGGTTTATCAATGTCTCATGGTGAGTTTTGTTCCTATAAATAAGATTTTTAAATTGTATCTTTTGAATAAAATAAATAAATAAATATTATATTTTTTTCTTCCTATTGCTTGATTTAAAGAATAGAAAGGGATAGGGGGGGGGGGGGGGAATCTTATTGTATTAAAAAAAACACTTAAAAATTGGATGATAAAAAAATTGGTTTAGGATAATACTTTTTGCTTTTATTTTAAATAATAAAACGTCACAAGTTTTCTTCATATTTTAAATTCGTAAATAAATAGTAAAAATTACCAAAAAAAAAATTTGTTTTATGTATAAATATTTGAAAATAAAAAAAATAAAATTAAAGTATCACTTTTATAATTAAAATAATTCAAATACCAAACAACCCTTTACCTTTCCTCGCTTGTCATTTTATTCTTTCAAACTTTTCAAATAAAAAAATATATAATGTTTCCATTTGTTTCTCTTCATTTGCTTTTAAATTAATAATAATTAGTTTATTAACTTATAAAATTGTCATAATAAATAATCAAAGTCATTAAACATATTGGTTTAGATTTATGTACTACATTATTAAAAAGGTGTCATTTTAATAGGCCTAAGGATGATGACTCTAAAATAGATTGATGATGAGTTTGTCAACCTATAACACAACAAGCTTAAAGTTGAGAATGAAAGTGAGATACCTCTAAATGTACTCCGATTTTAAAATTAAGGAATACACCAATTAATTGATAATATAAAATAGATGATGTATTTAATATCTTTGATTATACATGAGTAATACACAATTAAGATACTTTAATTAGTGCCACTAATTATATATGAGTGATACACAACTTAAGGTAATTTAATTTAGTAGTCATATAGGATATAATCAAGCATGGTTTAACAGTAGAAGGATTTGGAGCTTATGATGGAAGGTGTGGCCTCTTAGTTATACTTCCTTGTGGATGTGTGTATGGAGTGTTAAGTGTGTAGACATTTGCATTTAAGTGAGACTCAAACTTATTATCCAACCCAATTGTGTATTCAAGAAATATTTGAATTTAGAGTTTCTTAAATTAATCTAATGCCAAAATATTTTTTTTTTTTTACCATTTTTATAATTATAGGTAAAAAAATATTAAAACAATAAAAAAAAATCTTTACAATATAAAAAATGAATTCATTAAACTTAAGTTAAATTAATGAGAATAAAAATATCTTTCAAACAAGTGAATGTTAGCATTATGTTTTTTCAATATATTTTTTATCATTAATTTATTTTATAAATTAATCATTTGTTAAAATTATTTTATTTTATTTTATCACCGAACATATGAATCAATTAGAAGGAATCATTCTGTGAAACAAAAGATACTTATGGTATATAAAAATAATATTTTTTAAAAATAATTAATAATATAAATATATTAAAAATTATAAATTAATATTAGTCTAATAATTAAGAATAAATGAGTTGAGGTGGTGAGCCTGTTGACGAGCTTACGAAGCTAAAGCAGAGGAAATGAGTTGACTTAAGTGATGTAGTTGAAGGCTCCCAATTGCAAAAGCCAACATACGACAAAACCCTCTTATTATGAGAGAGAAACGAGTGGAGCGCAAAGTAACCACCGTTTCTACACACTAACCTTTCACCATTTCTCAATTTCCTCAAACCCATTTCCCATCTCCTCCTACCAAAAAGGTACCTTCTTTTTCCACCGCTAAATTTAGGGTTTATGCCATCAATTTTATATTGATGTAAATGGTGTTCGACCCTTTTATTGCTTTCTCTAACGCCTTCTTCTTTTTTAGTCCTCTGCTGCTGTGTTCTTATTGATTCGGGGAAAAGGTTTTTTTTTTTTTTTTTTGGCCAAATTTGTATGCTAATTGGGGTAATATGCAATTGGGGTGATGTTGAATTGAGTTGAAATATAGACATGAAGCTGTGAGTTAAGGCATTTGTATCTTTTCACCACAGTACTATGTAATCTATTGTCTATAATAAGACTACATGCAATTTGGTATTATGTTTATGCTGCTATAACTATGTAATTGATTATTTCACTTTGAGTTTGTTTGTATCATTTTTTCTGTTGAGATTGATTTCATGGCTTTATGGGATATAAGTTCGTTTCTAATGTTAAATAGATTCGTATTTATTTACTCTTTTTTGTCATGTGGTAGCAGAATGGATGCATAAAGTCTGGTGGCCCCTGATCCTCTTTTGATCCTGAATAACAGAAAAGAATGAGAATATCACTGATAGGTTTAATTAAATAACGGAAGAGAATTGCTGGAAAATGGGAGGTTGCTGTTGTTCTGCCAGAAAACCGCACCTGCATGGAACACCAGTATATTACTATGTTAGTAATTTTCTATCCTCTCTTACCTGGTTATAGCATATGTATAATATATGGTAGCTTATAAACATCAATCTATCATTGTCGGTTTATGGCACGAATCCTTTTACCATATTGTACAAATTGATTAATGACAGAATATGGTGTTGGCATTGATTCTAGGTGATACTTTTATCTTGTCTGTATTTTATTATCCTTTAGTTCTCTGTCCATCTGTTAGTTAATGAGCCCCCCTTATGATAGTAAACAAAAATGGCAAAATAAAAGCTCTGTTTTCTAAGAAAACAGATAGAAATAATGAAAGAGATCCAAACCCTCAGTATAATTTCTTCTTTAACTGTTTCTGTCAGTAAGTTTCATCTGTGGAAACTTACATATATTCTGTTGCTGTACCAATTGTAAAACGCTTGGATGGGTCCCTGCATCAAATTATAACAAACAGGTCGGCCAAAAATACTCTCACTTGCTCCCCATTTTTTATGCAAACACACACAGAGTTACTGAAAAAAAACAAACAAATAGTAGCTATCAGTCACTCCATTACAAATGCTTACAAACTCCAAGAAAAAATGGCACCATAAAATCATGATTTAAATTTAATTATGAAATTTATTGAATATTGAAGGTTCATTAAATTTGGGATTCATCTAGTAGGTTATCCTTTTCAGCAAAAGCAAGAAGGAAGGAATCAGCTTGCATGATAAAGTCGAGGGAAACTAAAGTTGGTGTAATAGTTATTGCAATCAAGTGAATAAGCTACCCTTGCTATCTTAGTTTTTACTTCAGAAATACCACTCTCATCTATGCTTGGAATCATTGTCTTCATTAATATTTGAGTGAATTACCACTATTGAAGGAAAATTCAAACTATTTCATCGTCAACTTACTGCTAGAAGACCTCTGCTACAATTCACTTGATTTCGTCACTATTTGATGAAATGGTTATGAAATTTCGAACTGAATATTTGCATTTTAACTTAAAATTGGAATGCCATGAAATTCTATTAATGCAGTTGTTGCAAATAAAAAGATTTCCAAAATGTAGATGTAAGTTGTCAAATGCTGAAAACATTGATTTCGTCAAGTAAATGTCAAGGTGGAACTTTGATCAAGAATAGATTCATTTTTTTTCTACAGGAATCATACTTTTATCTTTGTTACCCTATGGTTCATGTTGTGATCATGTCCAACTTTTTTAAATGCAGGCACGTGTTAACGTTACTGCCAGATAATCTGTTGACTTTGCGCTAGTTCTATTTTTATTTTCCTTTTTTATATATTTGATATTTTCTCATCAGACAGTGAAATGAAAATCAATAGATAAATTTGACTAAATAGATGCTTACCCCTGGCAGGAAGGATATAGAAAGATAATCCTTTGTGTTTTCACTTGATTCAAAGATCAACATTTTCCTGAGCAGTTATTGCTTGAAGGGATGAGAGTATTGAGAGTGTAAGGGAGAAACTTCATTTGTTATAGATGGATTCTATGCAATTTATAACTATTTCCATATTATCTATGCTTTCTTCTCTCTCTAGCCAAAAACTCTGCAGCATTTCCGGCATGAGAGATGTCAGATGGAAAGATAGCTGAATTGTTGTTTAATTTGATTGTTTTCGTCATTCTCTTTGAAATTAAGTGTTTTCTGAAATATAATCTGTATACTAGTCTAGTGTTTTTTATGACAGTATATTTTGCCATGAACATTTGATATGATATCTACAAAACTCCTGTTTTCAGTGCCCAACAACTTTAGAAGAGCGTGAATCTTTAACATCTAATGATGGTACAGCTGTTTCACTCACTGCTGGATTGCTGGTGGGCTTGAACCTGGAAACGTCCACGCCTGATACATACCAGCCCCCTCCTGCACCTCTACCTTATGATGTGGTCCTGGGAGGTCCAGCATCAACAGATTCTGAGTCAGGCAGAGAAACTCTTAGTGGAAGTAGTTTTGAAACATTAATTACATGTGAGGATCTCGAAGAATCTGACTGTAAAGCTCAAGCTAATTCTGCACCTTTTTCTCCAAGGAAGGCAGAACTGCCAAAATCAAATGAATCACATGCATTAGTGACAGAAGAAGAGGACGTCTGTCCAATTTGTCTTGAAGGTAAGTAGAAGTTATCTTTATATTTTCCATGTTCAGTTGAGGGATCAAGACTAATAAGTTCTGACTGTTTCTGGAAACTATCATTTCATTATTATTCTTATTTTTAATGCAGAGTATGATGTTGAGAATCCTAAAACTCTGACAAAATGTGAACACCACTTTCATCTGTCATGCATTCTTGAGTGGATGGAAAGAAGTGACTCCTGTCCTATATGTGATCAGGTTTGGCTTTTTGCATCAATTATTACCCGTATAATGAAAATTTTCCGCTTCTTTTTTGGGTAAACAAACTCCAGCAGTTCCTACTAAATGTGCATTACTGGTATTGTTGAAAATAAAATACAATCTCTCTGAGCTTTTTTATCTTGTTTACCAATTATGTTAATTTTTAGTGAAATTCTTTCTTTCCTTGATATTACAGGAGATGGTATTTGACCAGACACTTAACTAGTTCTATTGTTTTAAAAGAAAAGCTTGCTAAATGTGTAAAGGATAGATGAAAACTCATTGTTTGATAGCTGGTTAGAAGATGGCACAGATTCATTTTCAATTCATAGTGCATTCAAAAGGTCGCTGTTTTTGTGGGCCCACTCATTGGGTTTACAATCTGTGAGAAGAATGAGAAGGTTTTGACAGAATGCTACACCACATTGCATGTCTCTTTGAGTGCAATTTCTCATGTTGGAATTTACCTATTATTAGTAAAAGAATGCAGCTTTTCTCAAGATGAAGAAATTCATGTTCACAAAATGGCTCCTCCCCCACCATTGTGTTGCTTTGCTGGTCTCCATTTTCTTGTACAAAATTCTCTATTTATTTGTTTTTATGTGTAATTTTCTTTATGGGAGAAAAGAAAAAGTATACTTCTCTTGTAAATCAAGTTTGCTTTACATTTTGCTGCATTTTCAATGTATGTATATATTCTGGTGGATCCCATCTCTTGTTGTATTCACTTAAACCCCTTTATTTTCAATTAAAATCTCTTCTGGTTGATGGCAAAATGCGTAATTATGAACATTGTTAATCAATGTACATTTTTCTGGTTTGTTGTTGACAGTGATCTCAATTTGTTGGTTTGCATGTGGTGGGAGTATGATGCTGTAAAAGGAAGCAAGAGCTATAAATTCTAGATGTTACAGTTGTCTTTCTGTGTGCATGTGTATGGATAGTTTGGCTTAAGTCTAAACTCCAAACTGCACGTGAGTCTCTGAATTAAACAAAATAGTCCAATCAGTTCAACATGTCAATGGCACTATTAATGCCTCCCTACCCTACTTTCCCAACTCAAATATTGAATGTCTCAAATCAAAGCAATAAAACTTTTCCATTTCCCCCTCTCATAAATTCCTTGCCATGGAATAATAGTGACCCCTTCTTTCCCTTTCTTGTATAGTACTGTGAACTTCCCTTCTCTGCCTACTTTGGTTGACTATGATAACATGTATAAGAAAACTGTTCTAAACAGTTTTGTAAACGGATAATGGCGGTAATAGATTATCCAACATTGGAGCAATAAATATTAGTCACTGGCATTTTAGGCTCTACCCCACATTTGAGTCCCTATCTGTTTAAGGTTAAAAATTTTATTCTTATTCAGATTAATTTTTATACATATGTTAATCACAGTCACCTATTCAAAATTAATTTATAACCAAACAAGGGCTTAAATCATGAGAACCTAGGAGATATGGCAAGGCTTTTTGATTGGTTAAGAAAAATGGATTTTTGTTAGAGTTGAGGTTAAGCATCTAAAAGTAGTAAATTTTTATCGTAAAAAATATTTATTATATTAAAATTATAAAAGTATGATAAACACTTTTTTCAACAAAATTTTATATTATCAGTTGATTAAACTCTGCCTTAAAGGCTGGAGTTAATTTTTTTCAAGCAAAAAAAAGGAAAATAAAGAGTAGCAATTGTCAAAAACAAAACCTTATGATGATGTTTTGATCGTAAATTATGGTTGATTGATAAGCATGCCGAATAACAGCAATTTTTCTTCTTGGTTTTCTTCTTTTATGAGCAGGGATTATCATTGAAACCATTTTTCCTCAAAGTAATGTGGGGCAAAACTTTGAAAAAAAAAATAATGATGAGTGAAATTCAAAGTTCTTGCCAAATCCAACCCCTTAACCAAAGGCAAAGGTGGAATAAGCACCCATTTAACCACTTTCCATGACTTTTGTAGCAACATAGTCATAAGTCATAACCTAAATTTATCGATTTTTCTTTTTAAAAAAGAAAAGAAATCTGCATTCTAAAAATGGGCTTCTTGGAGTGGTCGTTTGAGCTGGAAATGGAATTTGATGGCGAAACCTTACAAGAGTGAAATTGCAAGCAAAATTAATTTTAAAATTTGTATTGTAAATTACTTTCATAATCAAACAATTTTAAATGCAATGAAAATTGCACATAAGTTTATTATTTCTTTTAAAAAACGTTAGTATACAATTATAGACATAATAATTAACTTATTTTATGATAAACAAAAATTTAAAAATAACTGAAGGTTTGCATTAGCGTAAAATCATCACAAATAACTTATCAACACTTTTATTGACATAAGAGTAAAATAATAAGAGCTATTAAAATTTTAAAAAGTTCAAATATTAAAATCATAAATTAAATCGAGTTAATGCGCAGATTTATAATTCAATAGAATTTCATTTATTTTAAAATTTAAAATTTTATACAATGGTACGATTTAATCCTTTATATGAGAATATTTCAGATTTTGAAAAACACCAGAAGCTATAAGAGGTAATTTGGGTGGACTTCACCCAACAAACACCGAAGAGAGGTTAAATATTAAAAAAATGCAGAATATTAGCGACACATATTTTTAAATATCTTCTTCAATATAATTTTACGATTAGCTTTACAAAATTAAATAATTTATATATATAAAAAAAGCAAAATTTTAACTTTTAAAAATGACTAATTATAAAAATATTTTTAGAAGTGTATTACAAGTGAAGAAAAATAGACATTTGACTAAACTGACTATTACACTAATTAATTAATTAATGTATTTTTATTTTGGGATTCAAAAAGCATTTTAATAAAATGTGATTATTTTTCCAAAGTTACCAAAGCAGCATACACAGTCATTACGCGTTTATTCTTAAGAGCTTTTGATTTGGCCATAACATGCTTTTCTATTATTTCACTTGTTTATCCTTATTTTAATGGTCCCCTTTCTCTCTCCATGCAATTATTTTATTTTTAATTATAAATTAAAAAAAGAGGATATTTTATGTCGTCAAATAAATATTAATTTATTTCCGCAAAAGCCTTATTTTAATAAATTTTTCATTTCTTACGTTGAAAACAGATAACTTGGTGAGTGGACTTGAGAACATTTGTCTGCCACCACCGTTTCACTCTCTCCAACTTGTCTTCTACCAAAATTACCCTCCTTTTTGTTTTCCTTCACTTCTTGCATTCTATTTATTTATTTATTTATTTATTTATTTATTATTATTATAGTTTTATTCCAATCATGTTAATTTTGCTATCATATGTAAATTTTCGTGCACTTTCCCATTCAATTTGATTTTGTTATCATTTTTCTATAAATTTTGAAAATTCAGAAATGTGTATTATAATGAAAAACACTTGTTAAAACCAAAAATTTATCAAAAAAATATAATACACTTTTTTACATTATTTTTAATGAAATTTAATATGATTTTTAATAAAAAAAATTATCTTTCTAATTCCTTAATTAAATGCATTAGTTAGTAAGATTCATAAAGTATTATGCTCTTTTATATATATATATATATATATAAAATAAATAATCAGTTCATCAACATCAAATTTAATAAAAATAATTATTAATATACTTACATTATATTTTAAAAATTTATAACAATAAATCATTAAATTTGTGACTCAATCCAAATATTCATTTATATAAATATAAGTAATAGATAAGTGTTTAGTTAATACAAATTTTATAATAAATAAAAATATAAAAATAATTTAATAATTAATACATTTAAAATTAAATCTTTATAACACAATTTGACATAGAATTCTTTAAGCATGCTAATTAAAATATGTTATTATTATTATATAAAGATAAATTTTACTTCAATATTTTATACATCACGAAAAGATATCTTTATTACAAAAAAAATTATTTTGAGGACATGTATCAAATCAACAAATCCTTTCATGCCTACAATAGGCAATGATTAGAGCTCTTAAGTTTGTTTTGTAAACCTTTTTTTAAGGGCAGATTCTCTTTCAACAATTATACTGAGCAATACTTTATGCCATAAACAGTTTATATTACTTCAAATTATTCTGCAGCAATCGTTAAAGGTTTGGCTTTAAAAAAAGTTATAAGAAATCATTCCACTCACATATTAAACTAAAAGAGATGCATCATCAGGTTACTAAAAATAACTCAACAATAGGAATCATCCAAGATTAAAGATTTGGTTATCAATGATCAAGAAACAGCTAAATTGTTAATGAAGAATTATTAGGTGAAACCCAATAGTTTTATCCCTCTTCCAAGGAATAAAGGAGACTTTAATCCCCTCTTATGAGTAATGAATAGGGGAATGATTATCCCAATGCATGATGTTTTCATTCCTTATATGTATAAGATCGATTCTATTCTTTATTATATGAAAACAAATAAAAATTTAAAACAAGGATTAAGTGCATATTTCCATCACGTCAAATCATAGCAACATAGAGCCAACACATATCTGTTATCAAAACAACGTAAAATCAATAAGCATATTATTTTCCCTATTAAGTGTCTTTAGTGAAACTTTTGAACCTGTACAACGTGGATAAATTGTTACTATGAATTATTCTTCTTACTGAAATTTTCCCTATTACACGTTGAGATATGTAAACATGCACTTGCCTGAAAATTTCGTTAACTTGGGGAAGGTGCTCTTTTCTCAACTTTATGTTAAAAATCTAAATGCGGCAATGTTGTAATTAAGGTATGCTCATTGTCTTGGTTATTTGGGTTCAACCCCCATTCAACTTGTCTTGATTAAGGTATGCTAGCATGTAAGAGCATTAAGTGATACGTTAAGCCACAAATAATTCTCACTCAAAAAGCTTGGAGTCCTAGTTCAATTCAATTTATGTAATATTAATCTTATAATTTAGCTTAAAAATCAATTTAATCCAATAAAAAAGTAATAGTAATATGATATAGAGAGAAATAAAAAATACACATTAAACGGGTGTTAAAATTATTAAATATTTGTGGATTGAGGTTAGTAGAAAGAGTATGGAGGAAGAAAGGGTAATTTGGTCATATAAACGTTGCCCCTGTAAATAATTCCAAGTATTGGGAAGAACCCTCAAACTCAACTCAAAACTCAGACTCAGCAACAATGGGGGAAGAAGAAAACGCACACATATCTTCCATTTCCAACATCATAAACATCCCTTCTTTCCAACAATAACAACAACTCTCTCATCTTCATTCAGTTCAATTCCCTCTATAAACCCACAAACAATGTCCCTTCTTCTCTTTCTTCTACCATTCATTCAAATTCTAACTTTTCATGCTTCTCCCATTTCCTCCTCCGACATTATCATCGTACAAGGAAACACGACACTGAGGAGCCAAAACCAAACCTTCGAACTGGGCTTCTTCAACTTCACCACAGTCTCACCCAACTTCTACCTCGCGATCCGTTACACATCACTACCAGCCCCAAACATCATTTGGGTCGCTAACCGCCATCAACCAACTCCAACCCTCGACGGTTCGGTTCTTCGGTTGACCCCAACCGGTCAATTACTGCTCACTCACTCTAACTCCACCGTCTGGGAAGCCAACCACACCCATGCCGTTCAATTCAACCTTCTAGAAACTGGTAACTTAGTTCTCCTATCCTCTGACGGCGTCGTTTTATGGCAGAGCTTCGATTACCCCACCGACACTTGGCTTCCCGGCATGAACCTGACCCGGTTCCGATCCCTTCTTTCATGGCGCACCGAAACGGACCCGTTTCCTGGGTTTTATTCTCTGCGGCTGAGACCACCGGATTACGGTGAGTTCGACCTCGTCTTCAACGGCACCGTTTCGTACTGGTCCACCGGGAATTGGACCAATGGGTCGTTCCTCAATGTTCCGGAGATGACTATTCCTTACCTTTACCGGTTCGATTTCGAGGACCCGTTTTCGCCGACGGCGTCTTTTGGGTTCTCCGAGAGGGCCTCGGAGAACGGAATCCGGCCGCCGACAATGTTCCGCGTGGAACCGTTCGGGCAGGTTCGGCAGTACACGTGGTCGAAGCAGGCGGGTTCGTGGAACATGTTTTGGTCGAAGCCTGAGAGTGTGTGTCAGGTTCGGGGGTTGTGCGGTGGGTTCGGTGTGTGCAGTGGGGAAATGTCGAGGGTTTGTGAATGTGTGAGTGGGTTTGAGCCTGTGGATGGTGTTGGGTGGGGTTCCGGTGACCACTCTCGGGGTTGTCGCCGTGTGGTGGACACGTGTGATGAGAGTGATGGTTTTGAGGATCTGGGTGTGGTCACGTTTGGTTATGGTAATGTGAGTATGTTTAGGGCTAAATCTAGAAGCTTATGTGAGCGTGAGTGTTTGAGTTCTTGTGGTTGTGTTGGTTTGGCTTTTGATGGAGGGAGTGGTGTGTGTAAGAATTTTTATGGGTCTCTTTTGGATTTGCATAATTCGACTTCTTTTGATGGTGATGGTGGGGTTTTGTATGTTAGGGTTCCAAGAGGTGGATCTGTGAAGAGGGGTTTTAGTCGTAAGGTTTTGAGTGCAGCTGTTATTGGTTCGGTTGCGGTTTTGGGTGTGGTGGTGGTGACATTGTTGGTGGTGGTGAAGAAGAGGAGGAAGAAGGGTTTGGAGGAAGATGGGTTTGTGCCTGTGTTGAATTTGCAGGTGTTTTCTTATAAGGAGCTTCAGTTGGCGACCCGTGGGTTTTCGGAGAAGGTTGGGCATGGTGGGTTTGGGACTGTGTTTCAAGGGGAGTTGAGTGATTCTACACTTGTGGCTGTAAAGAGGTTGGAGAGGCCTGGGGGTGGAGAGAAAGAGTTTAGGGCCGAGGTGTCTACAATTGGGAACATTCAACATGTTAATCTTGTGAGGCTCAGAGGGTTTTGCTCTGAGAATTCTCATAGGCTTTTGGTTTATGAGTATATGCAGAATGGTGCCCTCAGCACTTATTTGCGCAAAGAGGGGCCAAGTTTGAGCTGGGATGTTAGGTTTCGGGTGGCCATTGGAACTGCTAAAGGTATAGCGTATTTACATGAGGAATGTAGGTGTTGCATCATACACTGTGATATCAAGCCTGAAAACATCCTTTTGGATGGTGACTTCACTGCAAAAGTTTCTGATTTTGGGTTGGCGAAGCTCATTGGTAGGGACTTCAGTAGGGTGTTGGCAACCATGAGGGGTACGTGGGGATATGTTGCCCCAGAGTGGATTTCTGGTGTGGCGATTACCACCAAAGCTGATGTTTACAGCTATGGAATGACATTGCTGGAACTGATTGGTGGTCGCCGGAATGTGGAGGCGCCACCTTCTGCTGGGGCTAGGGAGAGTGGTTGCGAGACGGGAGAGAAGTGGTTCTTTCCTCCATGGGCGGCACAGCAGATAATTGAGGGTAATGTGACTAATGTGATTGATAAGAGGCTTGGAAATGTATATAACATTGAGGAGGCTAGGAGGGTTGCTTTGGTGGCAGTTTGGTGCATTCAAGATGATGAGGCAATGAGACCTACCATGGGTATGGTGGTGAAAATGTTAGAGGGGTTGGTGGAGGTGAATGTTCCTCCACCGCCGAAGTTGCTACAGGCGTTAGTTACTGGGGATTCCTTTCACGGGGTCAAGGCTGATTCCGGCACCGGGGTGTCCACTGGTGGCAGCTTATCTGATGGCAATTTGGAAGTGTCAACTGCTGATTCTGAATCATATATAGGGAATGTTTTGTCCCCAATGGATGTTAATGTTAGTGTTCGATGACAAAGTTATGGCATTTTCCAGATTATAGCATTTTAAGTTAGTATACCTCCTTTTTCCCTACTCTCCCTTTTTTTCTCTCTAAGGAGAGGGATGGGGAAGAAAAAGAAACATTGGATGTGGATGTGGATGTGGATGTGGATGTAAATTAGTTGCCTTTAGGATTTTGGAACTCGGAAAAGTGGATTTCCCAGCTTCTAATTTCAATTTTTCTTCTTTCAAATCAAATGAATGAAATGTTAACTTCTATATTCTTTCTGTGCATTTGCTCACTTTTTAAGCAGACGGTAGAATATAGCCATATGAAACTAAGTTTATGTTCAACATGTAATGTAATTACGACAAAGGCAATGACCCCGATTCAATTTTGATCCCACCTAAGTGATGGAAGGAAATATTTGAACATAAAATTGAAGAGGTTATGGTAAAAGATCGTCTAACATGGTAAATTCTTCTCACCTAAAAGCTCGAAGTTATAACATTGTCCAAATCTTTTGAGGCTGTATTACTTAAGTTGTGTGCTGTACGGAATGGAACTTTGCAAATTAGTGTTCAACATAATTCTGCGCCTCTGAATCTCTTAATTGTATTTGATTTGTTTTTCCATGATGCCTTTTGTAGTTAACACGAAAATTAACCTGAGGTGAAGAACCACCCTCTTTTTCACATTATAGCAAATTCAGAGCAAGCATATTAAATTCCAATGTGCTTTTGTGGTGGTTGATCATCAGGGCTAATGGTTAAAGAAGGAAACAGAGGATTGGAGGAAAAAATGCAATTCTAGCTAGATGTTGAATTCTTGTCATTGCTGACTAACTGTTTCTAGTTGGTGACAGCTGAACATGAAATAATTTCTTTCTAAAGTTGTTTACCAGATGCTTAACTCAATATTTTTTTTCCTTTGATGTTGGAAAGTATGATTTGACCTGCTAATGAATAATTACTTCGTTTTATAATTACATTTTTCTAAACGGAGCTGATGAGAGGAGTCCATTGTTTTATCACTGTTTAGATTGATGGTATCTACAATTACTATTATTATTATTATTATTATTTAATTCATTAGTTTGTTAAATATTTATAGTTTTTGTTTACTTTGTATTTACAGATTGTGGAGCCATCTTTGGGTATGAGGGGAAATTATGTTTGGATGCTACAACATTTTGCCTGTTTCATTGACTGACATTATTCACTAGAGATTTTGTTTTAGTAGTGAAAGCATGCAGCTTCTTCTTGAGAAGTGGAAAGTTATGCTCAGTTATGGCCTTTTCTGTGTAGTTTTCATGCTTTTCTTTTTACAAGTTTCTCAATTTATATTCGTTTATATTTTTTTTGGGTGAAAAAGAAAATGGGTACCATCTAGTAAATCGCATCAGCGGTTACATTTTCATTTTCAGTTTGGTAGATTCTGGGATCCAGTCCCTGGTTGTGTGTGAAATGGTCAAAATACCATAAATCATTTTTCTTTTTTTCTTTTTGAATTTTCTTTTGGGTTGGCTGTGGATTTGCAACATAACTTTCAAGGGTAAATCAAGTTACATGGCTTGTTGGTAATGCATACAGAAAATGGCACAGCTACAAACATGACTAAATTATACCAAGTGTTAAATTTAATAAAATGATACCTCCAAAAAAAATTTATCAATGTCAATTTGATCGTTGAATTTATAGCAAAATTTAATCAATTTCATAAAGTTTACACAAGTTACAATTTAATTGATACTTCATTAATTCACATGACTGATTAAAATAGAAATAAAAAAATGATAAATATTATCTTTGTTTTTTTATGGATAATTTAAAAGGAGTTGAATGCATAAAACTTTGGAATTGAGCCGAGAAGGCCTGCAGCTTAATATATAAAAAGCAAAGAAGAGAAGGTTTGCAGCAAAATGAAACTGGGTCGAATGATCCACATGGGCCTCTTTGGAAGGAATCGGGTTAAGCATATTATGGAGAAGGATACCAACTACTTACGTTTTTCTATACTTGAACATTCAGCTGAGCTCAGACCCAAATAATATATATATATATAAAGCTGAAGGGTAGCCTGTGTTACTAGGTACCTTTTCTTTTTAAGACTTAACTCTAAAAAGATAAGTTCTTCCCTTGGTGGGTTCTTTTATTTTTTTATCTCTTATAATATTTTTTTTCTTTTTCTATTTTACTTATGTATGATGAAATTTTATCTCTTTTCGTTGAAATTTTTATTTATTTTTTGTTTATCTCTTTTTTATTATTTATTTTATTTTTTATTACATTTATTTTTGTTCTTTCTTATATTCAAACTTGAGTTATTTTTAAATTTATATTAATCTAGCCAAGGAAATAAAAGAAAAAAAAATTATTAAAATTATTTTTAGACTTGTACTAATTCAAAAAAAAAAAAAAGATAAGCTTGTTTTCCATAGTTAAGTTTGTGTTTCTAAAAAATAAGATAATATTTTAATTTGATTATGTTTAGTGTATTGTTAAGTTAAATTTAGTATTGAGAAAAATGTACTTGATTTTTTATTATTTATTTTTTGTGCATTGCTATAATACTTTTAATATTTAACATCTTTTGATTGAAGGTGTTCTTAAACTTTCTTAATCAATCAATATTTAACAAAAAATAAATAAATTTATATTAAAAATTATTTTTGCGATGAAAATTTTTAATAGTTTTTTAGACAAATTTTTTATAAATTTTAATATAATTTGTTGTTGAACAGGCCTGATAAATTTAAAATAAAGAACAAATTCATACATTAGCCTTTGAGATTATAAAAATTAGAAATAAGGCCTTTAATATTTCAAAACATTCTAATTAATTGTTAACTTTATAAGCTAACATTTATTTTAGTTATTTTTATAATAAAAAATTAAAATGTCTATTTTAATAAAGTTAGAAATAATTATAAGTAAAATATTTAATTTGAACATTTTTAAAGACTAATTTAGAGAAACATAAAATTTTTTATCTTTAAAGGTACTAATACTTTTCATAGATGAACATAAAAGAATATTAAGAAACTGATTTTTTTTAGTTATAGTAGAAATTAAACGTATAGTCTCTAAGCAAAAATAGAAAAATGATAAACAAAATTTCATACAAAATTTATTTAAACGAAATTTATATTGATTTAAGTAAATTTTGCATCTCTTCTTCAAACTTTCTATTTTTATTTTTTTTATATTTAACATTTTTTTCTCAATCTTCATATTCAACCCTTTCCTTCCTACTCTTCCTGCACTTAATATCTTTTTTCCTCTCCTAACTCTCTTTTATCTTCTATTATGAAAAATATGTAAATTTTACTTAAATAAATTAAAATTATTTAAATTAATTTTACATAAAATGTTTTTTATTGTTTTCACGCAAAAATAACTTAATTTTAATTTAATTATAAACCAAAACAATAAATATAAACACAAAAAGAAAATAAAAGTAATAAACCATAAAGAACAAACAAGAACATATCCTCTTTTTATCCTTAGAAATATCTTTTTCTTGTAAAAATGATTTTAAAAATTTTACCTTAAGTCTTTGATTATACTTTAATCCCATTAAGAAAGTTATTGATTACTTATTAATGGCATGGACCTAAATGTCTTTCTTTTATGTTTAAATAAACCTGTGTTTCATAATTACTCCAAGTCTATTTAATTTAACTAATAAATATTTTAGAAAATAACTAGAAAAAAGAATATGAGTGTGTTTTAAATTAATACAACCTCTTTTCTAGAATAAAAATTTTTAATTTCCAAAGAAAAATTCATATATAACTATATTTTTCTAGATTGACTAGTGTTTTTATCTTGTTTGACTTTTTCATGCTTTCCCTTATAAATACTTTAATTTTATTTTTTATTTTTCTTTCCTAAACCTTTAAATTATGATATTTTAGCTTCTAAAACCTAAACAAATAAAATCACATGATAAACTCAAGTTAGAATAATGATTATAGATAATTTGAATATTTATTTAAACTATGCATGATATATACTCGTAAAACACAAATAGGTCGTATAAAAGCTCTTTGATGTCTCCAAAAATCAATAAGAATAAAAGGCAGCATCAAACTCATAATGGATATTTAGGTAAAACTTAAATTAGCAAGCTAAATTACATATTCATTTCCCTCACAAAGCGTTTCGAGATGAATTCCCCATTCCTATTGATGGATAACTTTTAATTGGTTTAATTATATTCTTTGTTTTTATATTTTAATTTACATCTAAATTTAGTATCTTTAATTTTAATTACTTACGTTTACTTTTTTATTTGGTAATTATTCAAACTAAGTCTTTTGCATTAAAATTTTATCTAATAATTTTTAAAAATATAATAAATGTGTAACATATTAATTTATACAGATTAGTGATAAAAATAAATATAATATTTAAATAAAAACAATAATAACATGTATAAATTTAAGAAAAATGACCTTTTTATTTAATAATTTTATAATTTTTTGTGTGTGAATCTATACAAATAAATGATATATCACATTTTTGATAACTATTGAATAAAATTTCTGAGTAAGTAACAAAATTTAAGGACTACAAGTGATTTTTTTAATTTGATTGATATCATATAAATTTTTAATTTATTTAAAAACATCTAGAAATTTTTTGGTTCAATACTAATCTAATTTGTATAGCTGGATTCGTGTATATGATATGGATTTGGTCAATCATAAATTCATAACTGTGTCCCTCAAGAATTTAATATTCCTAAAAAAGAAAACAGTCGAAGTTATACAATTTTAAAAATAGAGCTTATGTCCAACTAATATTATAATACAAAATAAAGTAAAATAAGACCCTGAGATTATATTCAATGCCCAATCAATTTGACACCTTATTGGAAAGAAAGAGGTAAGATGATAAATCTTGAAGTTTTAGATACCATCCACAAGGGCACCACCCATGTGTTGATGACAAACTCTCATGCCCCTTTTAATTATAATTTTTTTTCCCTTTCATCATATAAAAGAAATAATTCAAACCCACCAATAATCACCAATCCAAACCATCCATCTAGTTAAATGCTAACCAAGGTTAGTCCACCTATATATGAAAGAATGCTGGGGATGGAAGCAACTTTCCCTCATCAAGAAACCCTAATAAATCTCCATTTTTTGAGTTTTATATCAAAATAGAAGTCATAAATTCCCTCAAACGAAATTGAAGAGAAAAATAATAAAAATAATAATCACATAGTTGGCTAAGGTCAAGGAGGTCACAACAACACAACTCGAGTCACCATAGGGGTCCATTGAAACCCTTTCTCTATCTTAAAACTGGTACGTCTCTCTCCCTTTTCTTTTTTTACTTCCAATGAAAATTGAGATTTTGAAGAAGAGGGTCTGCGTCTGTTGAAAACTTGAAATTTAGCCCCTCTCTCTTTCTCTCTCTCTCTCTCTCTCTCTCTCTGCAATTATACATCGTTGTAGAGAGAGAAAGAAAGCGCGGGATATGAAAATTTTCTTTCTCAACACACAAAGGTGGCAGAACAAGAAAACCCAGAGCTTGTCCAAAAAGCCCTAGATAGTAACCAGATCACAGCCTTTTATATTTTCCCGCCAAAATCCATTTTTGACCCAAACCCAGATTCTCAATCGGTGCCAATTTTCTCACCCTTCGAATCATTTCCCTTTATTTATCGTAGAAGAAAAGTAAAGAAAAAGAGGGTTAAAATTAAAAAAAAAATTGAAAAAAAAATGGATGATTCGGGGCGTGATTATTTGTTTCTAGGGTTTGAATGCGAAATCCATGGCAGGGTGGTCGGCGCACGACGGCGCGGTTCCCCTAGAAGACAGTGGTGACGTTTTTGGAGTGTCGAACGACGAGACTCGGAATCGTTTCGAGAGGTTCCTTCTTCTGTTCTTGAGGGAGATCTGTGGCTTTGATTACTTTTGGGCTTTTCCTCCAATGCTGGGTGATGAGCAACGCGTGGATTTGTACAAGCTGTTTTTGGTTGTAAAGGGGAAAGGCGGGTACGACGCCGTTTGCAATGGAAAGTTGTGGGATTTGGTTGGGGAGGAATCTGGGTTGGGTCTGAGTGTTGGTTCATCTGTTAAACTGGTTTATGGTAAGTATTTGAGTGCTTTGGATGTATGGTTGAAGAAAGTTACTGACAGTAAGGTACCTCCTGAATGTGGTTTGGTGTATGATAGGGATAAGTTTGGAAGGCAGTTGATGGAGTTGCAGACTGAGGTGAAAGGGTTGTCCGGTTGTGCCAAGGATGAGGTGGTTGGGGAGGAGCTCAAGGGTGGATTTGATGATGATTTCATGGATGGGAGGAAGTTTTGTAGTGTTAATGAGGTGAAGGGTTTTGATTTAGAGTCTGATGGAGATGAAGAAATTCGAAATGGAGGATGTCCTGATTTGGATATGCCGGATTGTGGGATGGATGAGTCGGTTCTTGGAAATTCTGGTGATGGAAATGATGCGGTGGAAGTACAGGGAGGGATTGATGGAGGGAAAATGAATGCAGATGCAGAGCAGGTGGGGAATGTGTCTGATGCGGCAAACAATGGTTTGCTGAGATTGTTGAGTGGGAGTGAGAAGTGTGATGATGATGGTGATGGTTGCTTGGTATTGGATACATCTGGTGGTGATAGAGAGGGTTCTGTCGGTAAGAGGAAGAGAGAGTCTATATTGGATATGTTGAGCTGGGTTACTGGTGTTGCAATGAATCCTTGTGATCCTGAAGTTGGTTCAATACCTGAAAAGTCAAAGTGGAAGTCTTACAGTAATAAGGAGGTGTGGAAGCAGGCTTTATTGTATCGAGAGGCAGTGTTTCTCAAAAAAGGATTTGAGTCGAGCAGTGAACAGCAAAATTGGCAGGTAATCTGAAACCAAAGAAACAAACTGTATGCTGTTGAGTAAAGTTAGTTAACCATAAATTGCTTTACTAAATGCAGATGTTGCTACTACATGCTTAATAATTAAGACTTACAATAAGTAAGTTGCACAAAAGTTTTCCTTAACTGTACATATTTTTCATTCTGTTTATGTTCTATGCAATTGAACTTATTTGTGCACTAACCTACCGCATGTGATTTTTCCTTTCCTCTTGTGTATTTGTGCTTGCATGTGTAATGATCATTGTATACACTTGTTAACTCTGAACTTCCATTTCCTTTTGATCCTTACTTTTAATGGCAGCTTTTGCTGCTTCATTCCCCCTCCCCCTGAAAAAGAAAAAACTCTGGTTTGCTGAGGGAAACGGATTTAATTGTCACGCCCATCATTGATGAGTGATGAAGTATAAAGTACAATGTAGGGCTGCGTGCCATTGTTTTGTGCTGAGATCATATATTCATATAGTTGATCTTTTAATTTGACGTTAGCTACTGTATGCTTCCATAAATTATGGATTGCTTAAATTCCGTCATCATATACTCCAGATTTTAACTTTCAGATTGTTTTATTAGTTTCATTTTTACATGAGATGAGATGCAATTTGATTGATGTTAAGTGCTCTTTCTTCTAAAATAAGATGAAAATAGTGTTCAACAACAAGGAAGAAAAGTTTTGGCCCAGACCTGACCTGATCTTTTTGTACTACTGCTGTACTATCTTGCAACTTGACTGTGTTTGTGGATTGGCAAAATTGTTTGCAGCTACTTTATTCACTTAGGCATGGGTGCAGAAAGAAAACTAAGGCATAGTGGAAGTAGCTGTGAAATCTTTTCTTTTTTGGTGAATGACATTTGGATCCATTATTCCTTATTTTTAACTAATATAAAAAATGTTTGAAAGTATGTTATAGTGTTTTTGTGTTAAATGATGAGAAAGAGGAATTGCTTAATTTCATATGATTTTTTCACTCCTAAAAAAATATATAATCTGTCAGGCATTTTTCTAAGATGAATATCAGTCACATGATTCAGTTTCCTTACTACCAAAGTATGTTATGCTATTATATATTTACATTAAAGGTGGCAAGGCAAACAGTGTTGGAAGAACTCACTTTTTATTAGTTAATCTAATAAGTATCAAGTATACAGTTACCATCTGTTGACAAGTTCTTGATAGAAGTAGTTGCATACTTTTTGGTTAATAAAGGCATTTTTTTTATCTAGTTCTCTAGATGCCATAAATTTTGTCCAAATGCTGCCACTTATATATTTGATTAAAACAAATTCCAAATATCCTTATGATATCAAATTAAAATCAAAACCTTCTGTGATTTTATAGAGTCAGAAGATGCATCCTTGCATGTATGATGATCATCTTGGGGCAACCTATAATCTTAGAGAGCGGCTGAAAAGTGACAGAGGAGTTATAGTTAGAAAACATACATCTGTACGAAGCTCTTCAGATTCGTCTGAAGGAATTTTAGACAGAACACCAAGTCCTCATACGGAAGATCGGGCTGAAAAACGGTTGCTTGATTTCTCAGATGGACATTCAGGTCTTGATAGATGTGCCACAGTACGCATCCCCGTGGGGTCAAATCATCAAGCTGAAATACCAGAATGGACCGGCATGACTTCTGAAGGAGATTCTAAGTGGTTAGGGACCCGAGTATGGCCATCAAAAACAGTAAATTCCAGACTTCTCATTGAAAGGGATCCCATAGGAAAAGGAAGACAGGATTCATGTGGCTGCTCGGTACCTGGTTCTGTTGAATGTGTAAGATTCCACATTGGTGAGAAAAGGGCTAAAGTTAAGCTTGAATTGGGTGAGGCTTTTCATGAATGGAATTTTGATAAGGTGGGTGAAGATGTTAAGAAATTGTGGACAGAAGAAGAAGAGAAAAAATTTGAGAATGTGGTACGATCAAACCGTGCATCGTCTGAGACATACTTTTGGGACCATATTTTTAGGACATTTCCTGAGAAGAGCAGGGCAGATTTAGTTAGCTACTACTTCAATGTCTTTCTTTTGCAGCGCAGAGGACACCAAAATAGGCATACTCCTGCTAACATTGACAGTGATGATGATGAATCTGAATTTGGACCACTTAGGAATGTTTTTGGGCATCAGACCCAAAATTCACGTGGTTCCATCATGTTAACCCCCAAAAAGCCACAGACAAAGGGAGGATAGCTAGTGGATGTTTGTCAAAATAGGGGCTTTGTTGAGGATGTAAATTTTGACAAATTTGGGCATCCTCGCTGGCAATTTTCAGTATCAATGGATCTTTCTCACCTTGTTTAGAACACAAATCATCATCGCTTGTGAGGAGTAAAAGATTGGAGCTTAAAGGGTTGGTTTGGTGCAGGGGTCAATTTAAGTAGTGATGGTGTATTTTGGTGGTGGAAGTGGAAAAAGTTTGAACAAGCTTAGAAGCTGACGTTATTTTAGTTCACATGCTTCCGATTTTGAAATGTATCTTCTGTCTGTCCACAGTGATCTATAGCAGCCACAGATTGCTCATTTTTTTAAAACTTGGTTGTGAATGCAAGGGTTTACTAGAAACAGAAGCCTTAGGAATATAGGTCCACATTTTATTGTAGAGGATCATGAACAAATACATCAAAGTGCTATTCAAATTGTAGCTTTTCATTTGATGCGAGTTTATATTTTGATTTGATGTTTCCTACTTTCTTTCAAAGAGATATAGAAATTGTTTTGGCTCAGATATTTTCAGTTTGGTGTCTATATCAATATTCTTGTGATATAATTGCCTGTTCCATTTATAATCTGCCAAATTTGTATTATATGCACATTCCGAGGATGTTTGTATTCTCTCTTCTGATGGAAGTACAGAACCCCCCCCCCCCTCCGCCCCTATTTCTCTCTTTTTTTTTTTTTTTTTTTCCAATTTTGTAAAAAATGGATGAATAATTTTCATTTATCACTTTGTCTTATTCAATCATTATTTTTTATTTCGGCCTAAATGTTAGTTAATTTTGTCTGGCTATGTAAATGTAACACTAACATACTCTGTGTTACATTTTTTAATACATTTTTAATTGTTGACTAAAATTTATTAAAAATTATAAAAGTATAATAAATTTTTTTATTAAATTAACAATTTTAATTTATATAATTTTTAATTAATTATTAAGAATGTATTAGTGTGTTAGCATTTATTTGTTTGTAATTATGTAAGATTCTTTTATTATTGCCCTTTTATTTAAAATTACGTCCAATATCATAAGGATAAATTTATGTTTACAAGTCTACTTTTAAATACATTTTTCAGAAAAAATTTGTTTTAAAAAAAATCATATTTAGGTGCATTATGGCTATCAATAGTTATATGTTCATTACAAAATATGGTCTTTATCACTGCTGAAGATGGATATCATATGAAAAGAAAAATGATACTTGATGAGAACATGAATAGAATTGGATTGAGTGGTTAATATTTGCATTGCTTGCTTCTTGATATTTTTTTTTCTTAGATTTGTATTTGGTAACGAAATTAAAATCATAATACAAAATTAAGAATATGAGAATTGTAATCTTAGCCTTTTGTTTTTCTTAAGAATATGGTGATTATTGTTTTAAGCTAATCATGTATATGGTATGTGGTTCTTGAGTTACAACCTTATTGAGAGGGGAGAAAAGATTATGTCAAGATTAAAATGTCTTTATTCTTAAGTTTAACAATTTGGACTTTAGACAGAGAATAAGAAACAGTCAATTCAAAGTTCCAAACTTGTATGTGATTATTTTACTATAATGAAAATTTTCCTTATCAATACCAGGCTGGACTTCATTTATTATTGGATCTTCCTCCAACTGGCCATCTCATGGGTTATCTTATGTTACCAAATTTAATTGAATTTTCATTTTCCGTACAGCTCTCATGGGTTATGATCCTTATGGTTATCCATAATAATAATAATCATAATAATAATAATGATGATGATAAGATCAACAACAATAAATTTATTTCATTTCTTATTTTATTATCACTTTTTTTCATATATCTAACAACTTGTTTTTTTTTTATATATATATAATTTCAAGGAATTAAGTGAGGCAAGACCTTACACGATTTCTAGGTTTGGAAATTTTGTCTTGAACTAAAAATCTAAAACAGTGTTTTCTTAATTTTGATTCATAAAATTGTTAATATTGGTTTAATAATTCTCATCTCTCCCAAGCTCTCTTCTCATTATATTTTATAACTCGTTACATTTATTATTTTTCTTTTCTTTTATTGTGTGTACAGACATCCCAATAAGTATCTATAAAATATTTTCCCTATTTTTGTACCTCTAATTTTTTTTCTCTACCAAAAAGAAATATACTTGCTTTTAGGCAAAAACTGCCTATTCATTTGTCAGTGATGTTGGGAATTTGATAGGAATGACATTATTGGGACACTGAAAAAAAAAATACCACTCCAATCTTGTAACGAGTAGCTTTTTACTATGGTTTATTTAGAACAATTCTCAATTTTCTCATTTTTTATTCTTACAGATATTTTTAATCATTAAATAAAGAAATTATCTAATATATTTTATGTTCTAAATATAATAATGAATAAATACTTTTATTTAATACTTTCAAAAGATTATTAAAAGAATATAAAAAAGTTCGGTTTATTTAATACAACAAAAATCTGGTCATACAGTTATTAGTGTAAAATTATAACGCCCGAAACTTTCAAATGTCTTGACAGTTTAAAAAATTTGTGAATGACAATCCTTCAACTAATTATATTTCATTAATTTAGTTTACTTATTGTTAAAAACTTTCAAAATTATTATTTTACATGTGAACATTGAATTGACATACGATATTTAATTTTTAACGACAGAAAAAAAGGAAGTGCTTGTCCCTTCCACTGTAAAATGTGGTTAATACAAGAATTCTATTTTGAAACATGGATGTCCACGAAATTATAATCTAACTTGCATCTTGCTTAAGGGGAGAAGGGTGTGTAAAAGAAGGCATAAGAGTGTAAGCATAAGCGAACAAATTGATAAAAAGAGAATATTTGGTAAGTTTAAAAAAAGTAGAGAAAATATCTAGTGGTAAAAATAATACTAGAAATATTTTTTTTATTAATGGAAAAACTTCTCTAAAAAGATTTAGCTTGTTTTTGCTTTTTAGCTGCAACTAGCCACATTCATTATTAGTACAACTAAAAAATGTTAAAACTAATTAATTTGTTGGTCCATGACTCATAGAACAACAGGTGAATGTTACTTTCTTTGTCGTTAATTATTTCTAATTTGGTAGAGCCTAGCTGTTTAGCATAATCATGTCATCATGTGGCTGGATTGGGGTAATCAAAGTGGAGGTAAAACATCTTTCCTAGACTCCTAAGACACAACTTTGAAGAAATCTTGGTCAAAAATATCTGCAAGATACCTTCCTTCATTAATTGGCCTTCTCAATATGGTACATTACTATGAGCATATGTCTAATATAGTTTAGATTTTGGAGCGATAAGCTTACAATTTTCCATCACTCTTTTTCTAAATTTGCCCATTTATCTGGGAATTCTTGATGGGGCCTGGGCAAAAACAATATAAACAATGTGCCAATAACATAATATAATATAAGCTTAAGTATATTTTGTATCTTTATATTTTATGAGTTCTTTTTAACTCTTCTAGTTTTATAATTTCACGTTATATATGTGTGTGTATATATATATTAAACTCAATACTTTTATTCTCCACTGACCATTAAGTGATGATGTAGTTAATTAACAATTTGTCACATGTCAATTTTTTTGTAGTCACATTCGTGAAAGGATCAACCACTTAAATTACACAAATATAAGAACCAAATTCATAAAATAAAAATAGCATAATAGAAATTATGTATGGTAAGTCAATTAATATCCAATAAAAACACAAATATATACTTATTTTATATCTAAGGTGATAATGTTTCAAATTGTTGTTTGGCTTAGGGTGTGGGCATTATATTAAGGGTACAATAGAATATCTTAATTACAACATGCCTTGTGTTCTATCAAACATCAAACTTGACATGTTATCTCTATTGGTTTTGGATATATGGAGAGGAGGAGGTTGATTGAATTCTTCATCTAAATAGGAGCCACCCATTTGAATGCGTGGGAAAAGAAGCTTCATGAACATCCAACAATGTATATAATTCACCCACTTCTCAAGCTTCTTCATTGCCGTAAAAGCAAGTAGGTTAAGTTTAGCCCCACTCCAACATGTTCTAAAATGGGTATCTCAAAGATGCCCAAAACGACACCAATGACTGTCTATTTGTTTGGATTCTAGCTGGTTAACCATTACCCTCCACCTGTTTTCACATTGACAGGTTAAAAGGATAATAGGTGAATTCCCAAAGATTCATTCTATGGTTATTATAAAGTTTTAAAAAGAAATGGGGTAGGTACCTTATAGCCGGTGTAGTTTGTATTTTTTTTTTTAAATATTTTCATTTGTAAATTGAACAAGTGTGATTTTTATTTTTATTTTTCTTTTCTTGCCAAGTCATTGTTAGATTTTCTAACTGGGATATTGGGAATTGATATTTGATCATGGGTTTTCTAGTATTGTGGGGACCCTTGAACCATTTGTTTGTGTTTGTGATTTTCCTTGGACCATTTTGTACACTTAACCAGTGTGATTTGGTTGTACTTAAATTTTATCCCCTTGTCAAAGAGAGTGTAATGTAATGCATGCACTTATTTTTGTATCTCTACATGAATCTTTTCGCTCTAAAAAGTTATGATAAGTAAACTTAGTAATTATTTTCTTCAATTTACTTTTTATAAAAAATATTAACCTTAATTTTAAGAGTTGAGATTAAGCAATTAAAAGTGACAACTATTTATTAAAAATGGATATATTTATTACACAAAAATTGTAATAAATATTATTTTTTAGTAAAATATAATAATTTTTATATGTTTAAACTTATTCTTTAGGGTTGAAGTTAAAAAATTGTTTATTCGTATTTAAGAAGAATTTTTCAACCTTATTAATATATCATTTTAAAATTTCAAAACAATGCTTATTATTATTATTTTATTTATTCAATTTTACTTTTATATTTATTTATCTCTTAATTGTTTTATATGTTTACTGCTATTTATTCAATAGGATGGACAAAAAGCAAAACATAATGATAAATAATTAATGTTGTCTTGAAAGTACACATGAAACTGAAATTTGAACAAAAGCATGCCAAAAATAGCAACCATAAAATAAATCTGTTTAAAAAAAACAAAAAACAAAAAATTAGGCATGTGTGGGAAATATGTACCAGTAAACTACTTCCATATCAATTGAAAAATAATTAATAAATGCCTGTACTTGAAATATAATGAGAAAAAAGCAAAAAAAAAAAAAAGACTTGAAAATAAAGTGAGACAGAAAATCAATAGGACGTGGGAGCCAACAACTACAACCATAAAATAAATCTTAAAAACAAAATTAGACATTTATAGGAAATGAATAATGATAAACTACTTACATACCAACTGAGAAATACGAAGGGACTCAATCTTTGAAATATAAAGAGGAAAGTTTATCTTTAATGCAAATAATCTATTAAAATATGGTAATCGGTATTATCATTTATGGCAGTCAACATTTTGATGACTGTAGTCTGTTTAAATGTTTATAATATTAAACAACAGAAGATACATATTCAGATATTCTGATTCAAATTAACGGGATAAGGAAAAAGGCAATTGA